GGTATACTCTTTATCCATGGATATTTTTGAAATATCACTTTTGAAAAATACTGTTAACTCCGGGGTGCTGGTATTTATTAATTTAATGATAAGTAAGTTTATTTAGTTTCAACTGAGCTCTATATAGATCAAATCAATGGAATAAAATAGTATAATATAAAATAAATTATTACAAAAAATAAATCAAAGGTCAAAAATTTTTGAAATTATCAAATTTTAAGAAATTGAATGAATAAGTATAAAATAATGAGAATATTTTCATTAAATTTTGAGGGTATATAGTAGATGATAAAATTAATATATTATATACTCAAATTTCAAAAAAATGTTTGAATACTTAATTGAGTGTTGAGAATTCCAAGATAATTTAGGAAACTAAATTCAAAAAGAATTCTTATCAAATATAGAAGAGAAAGGAGTTTGGAAAATTTTTGAGCCGTGTCAGCAGAACAGAATTTAGTAATTAATTAGAAAACTTAATAATAATTGATAATTAATATATTTTATAAAATCCCTATACTAAATATAAGATTAGGGAAAAAATGCAATGAAGTTGAATAAAAGTGAAGTGCTTTAATCAAATAATTCAAAGGAAAATGTAATTTTATGAAGTTTTTTAAGATAGTATTGTATCATGATGGATCGAATTACTATTAAGATGTCATTCCAATTAAAATAGTGAAATATTTCATTATTTCTTTACTATGTTTCCATAGGAATTTTTATAGGAAAGAAAATACAATCGTTTTTATAGGATAGATCTCTACTAGTAAAATACGTGTGAATATCATATTATTATAAATTAATTAAGGATTCTGAAGAGCTCCAAGCATTTAATTTTCATTCGTTTGCTATTTCTAAGGTAAAGATTACTTTAAAGTTCAGTTGACGTCAGAGTATAATAGAAAAAATTTATATATATAAAGAAAAATACATTTTCTGGAAAGGATGTGCCTAATTTCTCCATTTTGCTTAGCTTCATTATTTACTATCTAAAATTAATAATATGATTGTATGAAAAGTTAAACGTCGAGTCCTTGTTATTCAGAGAAAATTTTTTCTATCTAATTGTGAAAGAAGTTTGACTCTTTTTTTCAATTCCGAATAAATCTGATCTCAAATTAATACCTAGCAGCACATTCAACCTGCTTTTTTTCTCGATGATTTGCACTATTTATTTTCTTTTATAATCTGTCGGTAATTATCAGAATCATATGTTAAAATGATAGAATTCGGTATTCAAATTAAGGATCCTATTTTTACTCATAATAATAATGGATAAAATAGTTTACATCCCAACAATAGGATATAAGCAAATTAATGAATAGACTTAAGATTCAATAGAAACTATTGCATAAAAGTAGCGTAACCTTGAAGAATTGATATCAGATATTAATATCCCAAATGAAGTGGAGTTTGAGCATGCATTTCATCTGGTCAAACCAAATTGTTGTGGATGCGGTCCTTATTCACAAACATCTGAATTCAGTGTCTAAGGCCTTGGAAGCTTGTCATTTTCTATTGAGAAATTTCATACCTGCTCATTACTATGCTTCTAATGCTTTCGAGAAAATTGCTACTACGTTTTTTGCTGTTGTATTTTTGACTGCATTTTCCGCTTGATTTGGTGTGTAATAAAACCATTTTGTTATTGCTTGTATTATTTGTTCAAATGTATCGTTTGCATGAATCAGATTCATAGATTGCCTTTACCATTATACGTTATGGATAATTCAAATTTAAGAATGGAATTTTGGCAAAGGGGAGTAGGATTAGTGAAAGCAAAGGGGGAAGTTATATTTAATTTTACATAAACAGATCAGAACTATTTTGATAAATTCTGTGCAGGAATGAAGTCTTCCTATCCACAACTGCTTATCACATGCCCATTTGAGTAGAACTATAAGTTATTAATGAAACCATAGAAAAATGATTGTCCATAATCATTTAGAGGTTAAATGACGATTCTGGCCTGTTGTGATTTGTTTACCACTAGTAAGAAGTACTATGTGGAAGGACTTACATAAGGAAAATGCGAAATCCTTAACTTTAGAACTGGGTGTCAAGCGTTGGCTAGATTAACTGAAACCCAAGGGTAATGTTGTAAATTATGCCCAACAATCAATTATCCGCGTTTTGCAATTTAATTTGAGAGTGTCAGATAAGTAGATAAATTGGCGATTATCTTGGCATTAATTCACATTAGTTTATACGAATAATGGGGAGATGGAGAGAGTGATAGTTTAAGACTCAAATTTTCAAATGAAATATGCAGAAATAGAAACTATGTAAAATAAGCTATAATCATTTGACCCATCATAAAAATATTTATATAAAAAATGTCCAATTTTTTTTATCCTTAGGTTTGCTTATTATTATCAAATTATCTTCTAATTCCCCTCAAGGCTAGCATCATCTTAGACCTTCTAAATATTTATTGATATTTGTATTTTTTTTAACAATATATATATATATATTAATGATATAATTGATATTAGGGGATGGATTAGATAATCAAAATCAATGAGCTACCAAAGCCCTAGGAATAAAATAGGAGGCTGATTATTATATTTAAACCATTTTGAAAACAGGAAAATGCCTCTATAAACAATAAGTGTGAAAATATGTTAAATGTGACATCATAATTAGATAATATAATTACAATTTCATTATAAGTGAGTGTAATCCAATCCTATGACAACTTAAAACGAGGTCTTGGTTTATTTCTTGAAGGCATTAAGTATTAATAAAAAAATGATGAATTTGGAAACAATAAATTTAATTAAATTTTGAGTTGTGTTAAAATACTTTTTGAATTTATTTTTTCAAAAACTTAATAAATGGAAATTATATAAATGGAGACTTATTATTGATTCAACAATCTAAAGATATACTAATTATTCGTTCCATAAGTATCCAATTATCTTATTATGATGTCTCTTTCAATATAGGAGAAAGATGATTAAAATCATTGGATCATCATTTTTATTATATTTCATAATTTGAATAGCAAGAACCGTTTATACATTAATATATATTATGTTTGTCAATGAATCAATCTAAATTATATTCTATAAGTTGATCTAATTTCAACCTTTATATATTGAATTATCTAATATCCTCTTGTTCAGCTGCTTCCATCAAGTAAGTGGCCAAGTATTTAAGTTCTTGATCATTTTAATCATTATGCCATTCCAAGATTGGGATTCCATTGTCAATTTAAAATCCAAAAGAATGAGCCAGGTTATCCACTATCACCATGTCCTTCAATTGTTTATTACCCACGATTCTTAAATCTTTAATAAAAAAGCCATTCTTTGTTTCCATACAATTTCCTCTCGAAAGAATCCCCATGATCCATTACTTTTTTGGATCCAAATAATTCACAATAGCATTTGCATATGCAGATGACGAAGCTGTAAATACATAAATAGTAAACAACTAATTCATTTGTTGTAAGAACCATGTGCAAAATGGCCTGATGTTGAAATGAATCTATAATCCATTATATCAAAATACCTTAGCTTCTTCCCCGTAATCTCCAAAGACTGTTACAGTTACTTAAGGATTCTCCCTTAGAGAACAACTGTGAATCAAAGTTTCATCTAAATCCAATAAGAGAGTCTTTGGCTTAATAATTGGACATTCTTGCAATTAAACCATCTTGGATTTAATAAATTTATCTGAAGGTCCTTTTAAGCACTTTTTGGCATAGACCAAGCCTCTTTGAGTTAATTGTAAAAACTTGTTGAATGAATTCTCTCCTATACTTGGACCATAGATAAGGTGTCTAAAAGGATGATTCCTCAACTTCCCCTCCTGATTCTACTTATTCTTCATCTACTCTACATCTGAATTCACGTCCATACTCTGTTGAGTATTAGAGTGTCTATTCATTATCATCTCTCTTACTTCACTTTTGTTGACTTCCCCACCTCACCCTTAGCATATTTCTGCTGCATTTTACTAGCCTACTGTTCCACATCATATTAATCTTCACTTTACTACTAAACATGTTGAACCTATTGTTAGATGGTAGTTGGCTTGTCATCATCATCGTCGAAATTTGGATCATCATTGTCCCCTTCAATCTTTTTAGAATTAACCAAATTTCGAAATTTTGACACTTTCTAACCTAAAATAATGGCCATAATCATTACTTGAAGGTCCGACCTTATTTTTCTTGGGAGTCTCTTTGTCAGAATCATCCGTTTAATACCCAGTTGCATTCATACTGAATTGAGACATTTTACTAGGAGGCTTGCTTTGCTTCTTCAATTGTTTCTCCTCCTCCTCTTTCTTGCTGCTTTCCTCCTCTGAATAAAATTGTTTATCATTATTCAGACTCTTTAAATGCCCCACTGAGCTGCTAGCCTTAAACTTATATATATTGTCCATTTATATTAATTTATAATATAATTCAATTATAATTTACAATTTGTTATTATATAATCAACCCTTGCTTAATCCTAAACAAACCATAAACGAACTCCAGCAATTAGTTGTTCTCTTAATCCTTAAAGTTGTTTATCCTAATTCTAAAGGGTATTCTTTTTATTGGATTATTAATGTTGTTTTTCTTTATTAATTGTTAAATTTGTTATTATTATTATTATTATTATTTTTGTTAGTAATTATATCTTCATCATAATTTTTTATCAAAATATTTAATTAGCTTGTTTGTACTTATTAAGCCTCTATCTTGTTGTTTACAACATCTTCCTATTATCTCTTCTCATTAGTTATTCCATTCATCCACATATTCCTTTCCTCTACAGTGTCCACCTTGAATTCGTAGATCTTACCTCCTCTCATCTTCAATATAAATTTGTTCTACTTATTCTATTTCCCCTCAACCTCTAATATGTCCTACACATTCAGCTTATTCTAGCTTTTCCAGGATTTCTCATCCACATACCAATATATGTATCCTTTCCTTATCCTTACATATCTGTGATCCCACTTTGTTACTAATTTCTATTGCTTGGCCTTTTTCTTATAAACATACCCTTCTGTTATGCTAGTATTATCTAGTTAAACTGATTAAACCTATGATTTAGAAATAAGTTCCTCAATGTTCACTTTACTCTTACTCATACTAGTTCTTGAAGTGCGACTCGAATTTGAATCCTACTTCTGTAAAACTAAAGGCTCCAATTGATTTTATCCAAACTCCATTAATTGACTTTTAAGATCTTGCGTTGACTCACCATTGTCTTGTTCATCATCAATGCTCCTAATTAACTAATCAAATTGTTCTAAACTGTTCTAGTTCACTTCTGATTTCCTTACTCTCAAATGACCAATAATCACTTTCACTGTATTTACAGTGAAACACCTCCCAAATTAGTATTTCAACCCTCTAAAGGCTTGAACATATTCTGAATCCTTCTCACAATTTAAGAGTTGGATCATTAAATCAAAAGTATCCATTTTTATAATAGAACAATGATATTATTTAAGAAATTCACTTACAACTTACTTGTCTTACTTAATTTTTGACTCTATTTATTTTCGCTTGTAACTATTTATCTTATCCAATTCATTCAAAAAAATATTGAAGTAGTGATAATTAAATGTTTAAATCAACTTGTCCACTAGAGATTACTAAGTTTATTCAGTTAATTTAATCAATTATACATTCTCTTCAAAAACTTCGAAAACTCTTGACCTGATTTCTATATCAAGAAGTGATACTTAGAATTATTAAGCCAACTCATTTAATCTTAAATTGTAAATCTATTACTCCACAATTTCTAAAACTTCATTATATTTCTGCATTATTTTTTATTTAGTCTTTTCTTATTTCTTATTCTCTTACAGCATTTCAGCCATTTACTCTATTCTATTAGCTATCTCGTTAACAATCTCAATATCATTACAAACTCCAATCAAAAATTCCAGATTTTCAGTTTGTTCCTCAACAGAATCATACAATTACTCCAAATAATGCCATAAAATACTCTTAATAACCTTAAGCAACTCTTTATTTTTAAGATATGACTTTAACTTTTAGGTAATTAGCGTCTCTATATCCTAAACTATATCAAATAATTCCAAAACACAAGTAGTTTTTATTGTATTTTTTGATTAAATTGTTTAACTCTATTCGAATTATGCAATTATTTTATTTTCTGATTAAATTTTCCATCTGTTAATGTATATCTATAACAAAGTATTGATTCCTTATTTAATACGGTCATCCTTAATATAATTGATGATGATTTGCTGATAATCTGAAAGCCAAGAGGCTAATTCCTTTATCTCATTAAGACTGAGATATTTATTATTGATATTCCAATATTCACTGACATTTTAACATATTTTCTCATGATGTATCTCTATGTATTCTTGAATTATATCTTATCTTTGTGGATCCTTTACTAAACAAGCCTCAATCGATTTTATCATATCTTAACTTATTAACATCAAACAGCAAAGCAAATCTTAAAGGTTTAAATATCTGTTCTAATCATTTATACTCTACTCTAATTCTATTCTTTATATATCATTTTATAGTTTCTCTTTGATTTTTTATCTCCTAATTGGTAAGCTTGATTCCATATCATAAATCCTAACGATTGGATTGATATTCTTTAAAATTTTAAGATTCAACTTGTTATTGATTTCCTTACAAGTATTCATTGATTAATTCAATGCTTGCTACCATTTCATTCTGTCGTTTTCACTATTTGCCATTAAACTATATATTTTATCTCCCATATTCAATTTAAATATAAATCCATGATCAGAAGACTTTTGCATATTTTTAATAATTATTTCCTTACAATTCTAAAGCTTAATGTAACCATTTCTTTTGATCAATTTGTCATTCATTTTTTAATTAATGTAAACAAGTGTATCTAATTCAAGATTGATATCTTATTATTATAAAATCTCCTCATCATCTTAAATCTCTGGAAACTAATATAAATTTAATAATATATCATACAAGTGGTTTAGCTGAGATAAGGATGAACCATTTTAGCTTGTAGTTCTTCATCTTTGTTTTACTTCTCTTACTCAGAGTCCCAAATATCGTTCTAGATTTCAACATAGAATTCTAATTTAATTGCTGTAATCCTAGAAGCTCCAAAATCTAACTATCCTCAAACTAAGTAGGCAGAATGATTGACTTTTTTTGGATCTCCCTATGACCCTGGAACCTTTAATTTTCAATTTTCTCTTTCTCTATTTAAACTATTTGAGTTGTTTATAAGTCCACTTTCTTATGAGTAGAACCTATGGTGATAAACTAAATAGCTCACCTTTTGATTTCGAAATGTCATTTTCAATCAAATCAACGCTCAAATACTTTCTCTATGAGTTCTTCCCAATACTTTTACAAAATTCAATTGTTTCCACCCATTTCTTTCTTTCATCCCCATTTTTTGCTTTCAATTCTAAATTTCTACCTGGAAATATAATTGTAAACTCTTCCTCTCCTGCTTATTCTATATCAATTTTATTTGATATTTCAAAAGCACCTTTTGGCTTCGAATTAGTTTTCTAATAATGCATTAAAATGATCTCTTACATCATCATCGAAATACACTAACTTATATCCTTCGTTTTCTATCAACATAAAAAATCTAATTTTTTATTTCTTTTTACCTTTTCTGCCATCCTTTTAAAATTGCTGGGCTTTTCTTTTTTAACCACCCTTGAAGTTTCAAGTTCTTTTATTTATCATTCAAATATACCTAGTTATTTAAAGATTCGGGTTGCGATAGCCTAAATTTAGTTCCATCAAGTTGGTTTGATTACATAAATATTATGATTATTAATCAATTTAGAATTATATATAAGTGTATATATTTAAGATATTTGAAGATCATCTATTATGGCATTCATTTTTATAATTACATTACCTGAATACCATGTCTATTTTAAATCTCTAGTTTCATCATCACTCAGAAATAGACTTATTTGTATCTCATATGAAACGTTTTTAGATTTTATTTAGAAGTTCAAATTATATATAATATAAAGGACTTCTATTCAGTTTATTTTCTAGCTGAAACAATTAAAAAATCAGCATCTTCAAATTTAGAAAGATCATTTGAATTTTTGATATTCCATTTGGTTTGAAACAGAATTTCTATTGCTTTCGTATTTGATATTCGTATTCCTATTAAATTATTTTAATAGAATCAAAATAACTTATTTAATTTTAAATATAATTTTAGAATTTGGTGTAATAATAGAAAGAAATTTAAATCTAATTTTGGAAAAGAAAGAGATGTGTTGATCGTTATCTCTAAAAATACGGAAATAATTTTAGTTAAAGTTAGAAATAAATAATGAAAGGAGCCATAATTTAATTTACAAAATTAGGTTTTGAATAAGATGTGTTCTTTTCTGAAAAAATTTCAAGCTTTTTTGATGATGTACTTTTGTTATTTTATATGATGTATATTAAATTATTATGAAAACTACATGATAGATTAAAATAATAATCTAAATGTCTATGTGGATATATGAAAAATCCTCCCTCAAAATAGATTTTTAATAAATAATTATTATATTAAATTTATAAATATATAAATATAAAGAAGCCTGATTTTTTTTATCAAATTACAATGGTAATTTAGTTTTATATTTCAAAAAAAAGTAATTTTGATTAATTGTAGTTATCTAATAATTTAAATATTGAAAATTGTTAAGTTTGAAAATAGATGCTTGTTGAACTTACTTTGATCAAAACAATGTTTTTGTAATTTTAACAATTACTTTAAATTTTGGAGAAAGTAAATCATTATTCTGAATACAACTTTAAATTAAAAATGGCAACATTTGAAATTTTAGAGAAATAAAGATATGATGCACTAAATTAAGTAATATAATGTTAAAACGATTACGATTATCTGAAATGCTTTGAAAGTTTAATTATTCATTATTAAATTTAACTAAAAATAAAATGAGAGGTTATATATTTATAATTATATTTTACTTAGAATAATGAAATCAAAATTTCTAGAAATCCTTCTCCAAACCAATTATTGTAATTCAATAAAAATAAAATTTAACATATTAATTTTATATCGTTTGATAAATAAATATAAAGGATAAAGTAGAAAAATAAATAAAAACTGTTTTAAAACTAATTCAAAATTAGATTACATTAGTTGTTATACGTTTACCTACTTTTTGTTTGCAGTTATCTAAATGAGAGTGTGTTTTATGAATAGTTCAGATTACTGTTTCTTTAAAACCTTCGAGTAAATTAAAGTTAAACTTTGAGCCACTGGGAATTGTGATTCCATGTTCTCAAATAAATTGCAGAATATTTATTTTGCAAATTGCAAAGCTAATTATGTTTTGGAACAACTAGATTTTTTTGAGAAAACTGATAAACAATTCAGAAAGTAATTTAATCAATTTGAAATATTTTCATCCTCAAAAGGTGACGAATAAAATTCAAAGGAAATGTAAAATTGATTTGATATCCTCTAATTGTTACTTTTTGAAACTGTTGAAGTTTAATATTAGCTTGTTTAATCCAAACAAATTTATTAATATTAGAAAAATATTCCATTAATGAAATAAATCAATTTTTGACATTCAAATAAATATTATTTGCCTTATTGATTTAGATGAAAATATCATTATGTGTTAATTAATATTTTTATAAAAATGAATAGTCTAAATGATTATGAAATTTTAGAAAAATTAGGATCTGGTTCTTATGGAGATGTAATGCTAGCAAAATGCAAAGCTAATGGGTAATTAGTAGCCATAAAAGCTATGGAAAAGAGATTGTTGATAAAGGTTTTAATAAGCAACAATAAATTAGGAAAAAAAACAATATTAAGTTTTTATAGAAAAAGAAGTATTATCAAGGGTTAAACATCCCGGTTTGATAAATATGATAGCTAGTTTCCAAAGTTCAGCATAAATATATTTAGTGCTAGAATTTATGGAAGGGGGGGATTTTGCTAATTTCCTAAAAATTAATAGTAATCGCAAATAGTGATTTTAGGAAACATGTCTTATCAGACTATAGTATTTTATACTGCAGAGATCGTGACAATATTGGAATAATTGCATTCGAATGGGATTGCGCATAGAGATGTGAAAGTAATTAGTTATAGATGATTTAAAGCCAGAAAACATAATGGTGGCAAATAATTTACATATAAAAATGATAGATTTTGGAACAGCTAATTTCTTCGATGAACAAAACCTACCAGATAATGTGCGAGATAAATTGAATGAGTTAAGAGAGATTAGCAAACAGGATGAAAGATTTTTAGATGAAATAGACTAATATCAATAGAAACACAAAGCTACTTTTGTAGGAACTGCAGAGTACGTATCGCCTGAACTTTTGGAAGATGATATTTGTGGACCTTAAGCAGATTTATGGGCGTTGGGATGCATAATTTATAAAATGTTTACAGGGACAACTCCTTTTTGTGATTAGACAGAATATTTAGTATTTTAGAAGGTCAGATCTTGTCAGTACCCAAAAAGTAATAAAATCTCTTAGGATGGAATGGATTTGATAAGTAAGTTATTGGTTAGAGATCCTTTAAGTCGATTAGGCGGAGGATTGCCCAGTAAAGTTTATTTACGATTTTAGATTCTCACAACACATATCGGGAACTAAAGAGCCATCCATTCTTTAAGGAAATCAATTGGTAGCAACTATGGAATCAGAAAGGACCTGAAGATGTTTAAATCCATTTGAAAAAGATTACAACTTAGGAATACACTCAAAAAAAGCAAAGTGCCACTTTGAAACCAGAAGTAGTAATAACTGGATTAGTTAATAAGAAAACAGGTTTGAGTTCATGATTATAAATTAAGGATGGATGATTTATAAATTAAGAAATATGATATTGTACGATTTTGAAATTCCTAAATTGGAATATTTCGATCCTAATACTGGATTAAAAAAGGTAAAAAGAATCTGTTATAGCTATACGAAAGGGTTAGATCATTTTGGACAAATCTGTAACAATAGAATTATTGAAAGGATAATTTAATATTGATGTACCTAGCAAAAAGAAGTATTATTTCAAAGTAAGAATATTGCTTAAACTTAGGAATGCGAACATCCTGCGTAATTATGGGTTGACAAAATAAAGGATGTGATGAAAAAAAGGCTGAATTGTGATTGATAATTTACATAGTTATGATTCATTCAAAGAAGTCTTTTGGGAATCTACTTCCTGCTCTGACTCTGATTTTCATCGGTATTTTCTCTTCTGATTCATTCCTTTCTAATGGTTTATTTTTGAACTTGTTGTTAAGTTCTTAAGTTGAAAGTAGCAATAATTCAAGAATATTTTCGTTTTTTGTATTATCCTTGTCATATTTGAGATTAGTTTATGCATCTTAGAGCTGACTTTTCCCTGAAGAACTGAAAGCAGCAGATTCATTATATTTTGGAGAATGAAAGAAAAGTTGGTTTTTTTAAGTCTCTCCTTCACCCTTGAAGTGAGAGTGTTTTTTATTATTTAATGAATTCTTCCTCATATATTACAGAATCTCTTTTGATTCATTGAGTCTGCTGGATATTGGAGGTTTACAGGATTGTCTTTGTTATGCGTTATTCTGTGGTTGATAATTTACATTATTTGTTGCTATTTTTGACTGATTTTGTAGATTATGTTTCTGCTATTGAAGTTGAACCTTTAGGTTTTCCTTAGTGGTAATGTAGGTGTTAGAAGAGGGGGGTTATTTATTTAACCTTGGACTTTAATTGAACACATCAAAGACTCTGATCTTTTCATTGGATGAACATTATTTTTCACTGCTTTAACGCTTCAATTATAGCTTTTTTTAGTTTTGAGAAGCCGACCTAAACTTAAGGGTTTCATCTCTCTTTGTAATAAGGAGATCGAAGTCCTATTTTGGCGAACCACTGATAGCAGGAGAATTATCTTTTTCTAGGTTGAATTTACTAAATTACTGAGTAAGTATTGTTCCGAAGGTTTACTTGAAACGTTTGGCTCTGAAGTGGGGTATTGCATATTTGAAGGACTATTTTCAATTGATCCTAGATTTAGTTAAGTTTTAGGAGTACCATAATCTATCGTTCTTTGAGTTAGATCTAAGTTTTTAAGGAAATGTCTATACTTATTTTAGTTAATGTCTACTTCGACTGAATCTACTCACTAGATGAACAAGAGGAGAGATATTTTTTGAGCATTAATATTATATTTTAATAATTGGGGACAATTTTTAAATGAGAAATTGATAATTAATAGTTATTATTATATATAGAGATTGGTATAGTTACATTGAGAAAGAATAATCATGTTTAACCTTGAGGTTTCTTCATGAGTGGCAATTAATAGGTTTTCAAGTCTTCATGTTGTACAATAGTCTCGCAATCAACATTTTCCTAGAATAAAATATGGAGTTACAAATCCGAACTCCGATTGAAATGTCCTCTTAGTAGTTTCATCGCTCTGAAAATATGGATGAAGAAGTGCTGCTTAAGCAGACAATCTTTCTTTGGGATTTCTTCTTAAGAGATTATTCAGTAAATTCAATGTTATGGAATCCAACTTCTTTAATTTAGGGTTATTGTTATCGATGTCCCCAATAAGTCTAAGATTATTATAGAATTACAGCCAATTGAATATGACACCAATGCTATAGATGTCAATTTATTCATTATATTTGATTTATCCATCCTTGTAATTAGTGATTTCTGGTGCCATATAGCCTTGAGTTCCACATATGGGATAGGAGTACCTATAGAACAATAAAGAATTAATCACTTTTCAACATTACTGTAGGTTGCTAATCCAAAGTCTGCAATTGTAAGGGTTTCAACCTTATTTGGTTCCAAAAGCAAGAGATTTTCAGGCTTTAGATCCCTGTGTATTATCTGAGTTATATGAAGTGGTTACTTGATGATAATGCAAAAGGGAAACACCTGAGAGGAGTCTCTTCATGATTTGTCTGATAATGTCTGGAGGAAAGTATTTAAAGTCTGATTATTTCTAATTTCAGATAATTTGACTTTATTACTTACTTTGATTTTATTGTAGAAGGCCATTAATGACTTGCCTTTCATGAGATTCAATATCAAGTAGTAAGATGATTAGCTTTCAAATACTCTGTACAAATGCACAAAATAATTTTGTTGATTGTAATTGGTCAATTCTTATAAGATCTTCACCTCATTTTCAAATAATATCTACAATATAATTGATTCTTACCTTCAATTTGTCGTTCTTTAAAAGGTAATCCTTATTGATACTTTTGACAGCAAATTTTTCCTATGAAAAAGTATCGATCAAAACAGAAACACTTGAAGAGCTGCCTCTTCCTATAATTTCTATTGCCTAATAAAACATAGTGATATTTAGAAAAGTTATTTAATTGCTTACTTTGTCCATAAAACTAAGTATAAAATGTACACTTACGTAGCAATATCAGATGATCGACAATTCATTAATTTAGTTGAGTCTTTGTAATTAAACTGGAATCCACTGAAATTCCTATTATTTTTACTTACCTTGCCCAGTATCTCTATAACAGTGGATAACTTCAATGGCAGAATGTATTTTGGTGATTTAGATTTCTTAATATAAAATGATGCCTACAATTTCAGTCATCTCTATGGAGTCTTGGTACAGTTATATGTTATAGAACACTTCCTTCCAAAAATGTTTACGAACTCCGATAAAGGAGAATACAGAAGTCCTCATTGGAGAATAAATAATAATAATAATATCAAAATGATCATATTTTTTTTTTATAGTCAGTCATTAATTCAAAGAATCCTCTGCAGATTGCTTACTCGATAGAACGACGTAATGTAGTCACTCGCACTAAGCTAGTTTTCTTAGGTACTTTTATTCTTCTTACGAAAATTCTAGAAAATTAAAACCAAATCAACATTATTTTCAGTAGTCATCGTACTGATAAAATTTTACATAACCACACATTACTTTCTTGAAATTTAGAAAAATCAATTTTTAACAACTAAAAGCTAATTACATATTGTATGAAGAAAAACAAACAGAATTTACTGAATCCTTCTGATCATTGTAACGTATCTATTTATAAATTTTCCGATTTAAAATCAAATAAATAAACACCACTAAATTCATTTCACCTATATTTATATAATGTGATCCTCTCAAAATGCACTTCGCAATACTTGCTCCAATTATAGAAGGTACCATTTATCATATATCATAATAAAATTTAAATTGTATTTTTCAATTCAAACTTTCTTTTCCAAAATAAAAATAATTAGATCGATTCTCAATCCAAGGTGATTAGGTAAATGAAAGATGTTAAAGTAAATGACTCCTAGATCTTTGAATAAATATATGGATTCTACTAATTTATTTTAGAATAGTTCTTTTTATTAAATCTAGTTTATTAATAGAGGATATTCATAATATACTTTATACTATTTTTTATTATGTTGGCTTTTCAAAATTTGAGGAACTTTTGCAAATCCTTAAAAATTTAGAGATCGAATGCTTTTAAATAATTAATTCTGAACTCAAATACTTTCTGATATGTAATTGATCCAATTAATGATTGATAATTTTATATATTTTAATAGAGGGTATCCAAGCCCCCAATATTAAATTATATTGTTTGATATAAAGTTGAAATTGTAATTTATCATAAAAAATTATAAGAAGTATTAAATATTAGTAATAAAATAATAATGTCTTTGAATAACATATTTAAGCAAAAGCAAATTGAAAGACAAAAGGAATAATAATTGAATAGGTAATAAATAATTATAATCATAGAGAATAGAGAGAAAAGAAATTGGAGGAAATCAGAAAAATTAAGTCAGTTTAATTCAAAGCCAGATAAGCGAATAGGGTAGAAATGTTTGAAGAAAATAAACTAAACAAATTAAGGGAAACATTAAAGGAGGGCAGCTACCCAATATTGCCAATCACAAAGCATTCGTTCAGAGATCGCTACAAAGAAAAGGAGTTAGATGGCAATATAATATTGAAAAGGTAAATGCGCATAGTATACGAGTTAATTATCAGGAAAGGATAGAGCTAGACAAACAATGCTAGACTTCAAATAAGGACATTTGGCAACTGGAGAATTTAATAAGGATGAACCACACAAGAACCATTATAAATGGCTGAAAGTGGAGGATCAAAGTAAACAAGGGAATCCCATGAGATTTGGCAAGGGAGAAAGAGTGGAAACTGAAAGAGTGAAAGGAGTGATCGATAATGCGACCTAGAAAGTTGATTATGTGGTAATATGTTTCATATACAGAAAAAAGACTTGATGATGTTGATAAATCCTACATGGAGGTAAGATGAGAGATCAAAATGGATGGATAACAATACTTTTAATATTTATAATAAGAGAAGATTTGATCCATCATCTTGGGAGCAACATCCAATAATTTACAAAAATCAAAGCAATGTGTTTGTTGAAGGGTTCGAAGTCTTAGGAGATCCTTCTAGAAAGCGATACAAAGAATAAGAAGTACTCATTCATTTTAATCAAACAGCACAAAAGGACTGAGTATATACCTACAGTGAAAGAGGACTAAATTGGAACTACTCTCCATATATCAAGATCCTTAAGAACGTTCAAAGCTGATTAATTAATTAATGAATAAACTAATTTTGATGAGTACTCTCAGAATACAAAACTCAAATATTATAAATCTGCCTTAATTGAAACCAAAAGTATTGATCATCAAATACCTTATCAACATAGCAATAAGTATTTATAAATCCATTATGTATAGCTTTAAATCTCTTGATTTTAAGAATCTTCGACCTGAACTCAAAACCAAAATATTTCGCAATTCATTAACTACTTCCACCAAAGCTTAAACTTAGAATTGTAATCAAACTCCATTAAAAACAACCTAAACCAAATTTGAAACTGAGCAAGCTACTACTGCAGACTATATGCAATCAAAATTATCAAAAATACACGAGGTTTCTTAGAACTTTATTGCTTCGGATCACAAGATCTCGATTAATCAGAAGACTTAAGAGAGTGAAAACTCAAAATCCAAGACTCAATTTAATAAATAGTAATCGCTAGATAATCTTATTAAACTCAAGTATCCATATCATTAGGAGAATGATGAAACCACTAAGAAGATTTTACATGAATATTTTAAATGGTAATGATTTATATTATCTAACATTATTGTAATATATATATATATATAATAATAATGAGCAATATTAAAGTTTTCTGCAGAATCAGACCATTAAATCAAAAGGAAACATCTTTAATCAGTTACATTATCAAGGAATAAACCATGCAAATAGGTGAGTAAAAGTTTACTTTTGATAGGATTCTTGATAGTAATACAACCTAACAGGAGGTATATGATGAAATCGGAAAACCTATTATAGATTAAATTCTTTAAGGATTCAATGCTACATTGCTTATGTATGGATAGACATCGTCTGGTAAAACTTACACTATGATTGGGGATCAACACTAACCAGGAATCATTAAAAGAACCATCAATGATTTATTTGATGCAATAGACAGTTCTCCAACTGAGTGTGAATTTCGTATTAAAATCTCAATTGTTGAGGTGTACAAAGAAAAAGTTAAAGATTTATTGGACATCAATAAATAGGATTTAAAAATAAGAGAAATAGCTAATCAAGGATTCTACATTTAGTATGTGACCTAATTATGGGTCAGTGATAAAGAGGAAATTTATAATGCTTTGCAAAAGAGTTTGGTCAACCGATAAGTTGGTTATACTAATCTTAATGACATGTCATCTAGATCTCATCTTTTATTTTAAATGGTAAACCTTTATTACAATATTATTAGACAGTCACCATGAACAATGAAATTGAAGGAACATCATATACAGGATAATTGATTATGGCTGATCTAGCAGGCAGTGAAAATGCATCTAAAGCAGGAACTACTGGAATTGCATTGCAAGAGGGATCATTCATTAATAGGAGTCTGCTAACACTAGTACATCTTAATAATTATATGCAACTAGTCTAATGTAATTAATGGGTTATCAGAAAAATAATAACATGTACCTTTCAGAGAATCTAATCTAACTAAATTACTTTGGAATGGTCTTAGCAAAAACTCTATGACTTCCCTGATTATTACCTGTAGTCCATGTATTAGTAATGAACCTGAAACTCTCAGTACTCTTAGGTTTGGAGTGAGAGCTAAAATGATTAAGACTTAACCAAAAGTAAATAAAGAAGTCACCATTAAAGAACTAGAAATCCTAAATAATAAATTGATGAAAGACCTTGAAGAAAGAAATTACATTATCGATCAATTGAAGAAGGACGACAACAAAGTTAAAATCATCAAATTGGAAGAATAAATGTTATAATTACGCAAAGAAAATCAATTATTGAAAGAATAGAACTCATAATACATAACTGAATTAGACATGAGATCATTAGATTATTAAGAAATGTAAACGAATTTCAAAAATTCCTTACTTGAATCAGATCGATTATAATAATATAATCTGAACTTTCAGAAGTAAATTGAGTAGCTACAATAAAATAAAGAAATTGAAATCCATGATCTAAATTCTTAAATTGAAAACCTTAAGTAATAATTGTAATCAAAGGACGAAATGATTCAATAATTATCCAAACATCTAGCTGTATTTCAAAAATCTCAATCCCAAAATGCTCAATTATAATTACATGAACACTATGCTGAAAAATTATAAAATTAAAATATAGCAGATTTGCTTAAAGAAATAGATGAACTTAAGAAAAAGACATTTGATGACAAAAATGAGATAAAATAGTTGAGTAAAGTCAATGAAAGTTAAATCTTAGTTTTTACAAAACAAATTAATAATCAGGAGTCTGAAATCTCTAATCTATAAGATCAGGTGAAAAATTATTAATTGTAGCTAATGAAAAATAATGATGAATTACTCAATTTAATGTAATCAAACAAAAAGCTTCAGAAGGATCTTGAGAATAGAGTGATGAAAGTCACTGAATTATAAGAGCAATATGATTACCTGCTTGATTAATTTAATAAATTAAAGAATCAATTAAATTATGAAGAGGTTGGAGTGTATGAAGAGAATCAAAAACTACATTAATAAATGCAAGAAATTAATAAAAAATACCTACAAGAAGAATCCTTAAGAAGATCCAATTAATTAACTTCTAGCTAAACTTTGTAAGCAAAATTATCGAGAATTCAACAACTTGAATAGTAATTATTCTTATTATTATTAAAGGGAGAATTATCAATTAAAGTTGGACATATAAAACTCATAAATTTTGAGTTCGTAGAACAATAATAATGAATCTGTAATTGTTTCATAATTTAAATCTGCCAATAAAGGAAGCATGATTTCTAAAATAGTTAAAAAATAATAAAATTAGATTGATTTATAGTGAATCATTAATTTTTGTGTAATATAGAGAATTTTTTAATTTCTCATTTGATAGAAATTAAACCTCTTTTAATCCAAATTAGTTCTAGAAATAAATGTTAAAATAACTAGTAATTATAGAATTGATATTAATTAATCTAATACTCATAAATGTGCAATGACTTCTTGCCAAGTTAATAGATTATCTACCCTTTCAATAAAAGTCTTTCTCTTCTTGATTTCATTACTATTAATTTAATTTGACTTGAAATCAGCATTCAAAATCTTCTTAAACAAAATCTAGAATTCAAGTTAAATATAATACAGTCTATGTGGTTGGACATTTTAGAATTTAAGTTAACAAATATTCTGCAAATGGTACATTTTGAACAGAGGCTTTAATCTTTTATTTCTCCATTGCTCTAGTATCCCATTCGCTCTAAGAGACTGGTAAAAACACTCCATTTTCGATGGTTTCATCAACATTAAAAACTGAAAATCTGATACCACACATTCTTCTGTTTGATCCAATAACTTAGATTGTCACCTAAGCGATTTTGCCATTGTCAAAGGCAATAACTCTATCATATTAATAGAAATAATAATACCTTCGATAAGAGCCGCAATCATAAATACTTTATACGATGGGATTCTTGTCAAATTGTTATTCATCCTATTCACAGACTTTTTCAAAAATATTCAGGTTGAATGAATATAAAATGGTCTATAGGATGGTTGCTCTTTCTTCAATCTATAGTTTATCATAAGAGACGGCAAATTCCCTTTGAATGGCTGAGAAATTTATGTGAGTGCTTCCTTTGGCTTTAATTTTAGACTTTTTTGGACCGAAAGATTCAAAACAATTAGCCAAATAAATGGAAATTTATTATTGATCTAAATGCTCTTTGACAATTTATATTTAACTTTTAGTGCCAGCGTTCCAAGTCTTGCATCTGAAATATTTCATTCCAAGCAAACTATTAGGAAAAGTAATTTATTGTGATTTGAGTTATTGTTCAAAGACTTAAACAATTGATTTGATGAATTTCAAAAATTCAATTGGTTGTTTTAATACTAGATTTTCTTAACCATAGGATTAATTTTATTTTATTTCTGCCTAGACTGCTTTTACTTTATCTTTTGAAAAATGTCTCTCCACCAATGCCTCAGCCACATCATCATCTCCAAATTTAGGAGTTTTTTCAGTCAACTTCAATAGATTACTCTTACAATAATAATTGAATTCGTCCTTAATAGATTTGGCATCCACAAAGAATGTATCAATTGAAGAATAATCCATTTCTAAATCTAATTTGAAACAATCATAGCTTGCAGGATCAAATATAATAATTCTAAATTGATCAGTTTCCAAATGATGGATGTACACTAAACAATTGAGATCTAAGAAATCTATCTTTAAGTTCAAGCCATTCAATAATCCATAAGGTTTGGGCCACAATTAAATCTTATATTATGAAGTATTCTCATCATGAACAATTGCAGTGTAAGGCAATATAAGAAATTTGAAGAACTAATGAGTTGTACTAATGTTTGGGAGATTAGTTGGCAGAGTGTCCTGGAAATCCACATAGCCAAGAAGACTTTTCAAGAGATCAAATGATATTGATTCTGAACACAAAATATTTTATTGATTATAAGCTTTGAGCATCAGTACTTTCCCTTCATTTGTATCAGTTATTAGACCTTCAAGTTTGAAATTGTGGACTGTCGATACATCACTTTCCCAAGAATTGTTTTCATTATTTGAATGAAATTTGGTATAAGTCTTGGTGAAAGATGTATTCAAATCAAGCATGTCTAATAATTAGAGCAAATAGGCTTAATTCTGTTTAATAATTCTAGGACTAGTATCATCCATTTCATTTTTAAATTCTTCTCCAGGAGAATGACTCATTTAACTCTATGCTCTCACAAATAGTCTGTTTTTGTCGTCGTTGTTATTGGGAATTTAAATATTCATTTGTGTTTGAGTATTGGCTTTGGTTGAATAACTGCTTTATTGTGTTTTCAAATATTATTATGCAGGATTTGGATTGGGTAATTATTATGGGGAGGCCTATTATTATTGCTATTGTAGTTATAATTACAATAATTATTGTTGTTATTGTTATTGATATTGTTATTATTATTATTGCACTAATTTTTCTAGTTTCAATTATTTCTCTTGCAAATCTTAGATGAAGGATCTTAATTCATTGACTTCACTTTACTTCTAATCTTTCTCCTTCTTATAAGTGGTATTCTCATTCTTCAGTGATACTAAATTGTTTTCTAAGATTTCTATTTTTTTCTTTAATTAATCATTTTGTTAATTTTATTAATTAGTTTAATTGAGTTCATTTTTTTTTAAGGCCATATTAGTATTATACAATTGTTTTAGTTCTTCCAATTCTTATTATTGACGACCTAGTTTATTCTATAGGATTTCGAATTCATTGGAATCCAAACCTGGTTTACTGATATTTGGTTGTTATTTAATTTGAGTAGATTGAAATCCTTAGGTTTAAGACATCTGAAATTAAATAAGATATATATACCTATTTCTGAGAAGGAGTGGAAACTTAATTTTGAGTTTGAGATTGAGTCACATTCTCTTGCTTCAATTATTTAATGGAGAATTGTTTCTTTACAATAATTGGCTAATTCTTCTTTTCCACCTGACTTTACTCAGTAAACATTGAATTCACTTTCTCTTTCTTGGCTATTTGTGGCACTAGTCTTTAAATATTGATTATTAAATTTACTTGTCCAACAACTAATAGATGAGGGGACTGGTCAATAAATTATTACATTTAGAATCAATCTAAAAATTCTCATCGTTGTTTAGAGTGTAATTCATTTTCAAATTATTAACTAGAAACTAATAGGATATGTTTTCTGATTGATTGAAATGAGGCATTGATTACCTATTGAATCCAGGACTAAAGGATCTGTTCATACTAGCAATTTGATCGTAGACTTCGGGACCCAGATATTTTTATGATAACTTCATTGCATTATTAATAAATCTTCTTTTTAATTCGTAGATTGAATAATCTTAGGACTTTCCTATGGTCTCTATGGCCTACTTTGAATAGCCAAGTTTATTTGCTATATCCAACTATTCACTTAAGAGAATGTAGGCTATCACAAGAGTCTGCATATCACCAATATTTTGCAACTGACTGCTCTTGATCTATGAAAACACAAACTATTCTAATCGTTCAAACAAGGCTACTGAACCTTTCAAAGCTCTTAGTATATCAATCGAACTTACCAAAAATAGGATTCGCAGTTACACTTGGTTGAATGAATTAGAAATCTATATAATTATGTATTGCTTTTTTACATCTTCCAGATCAACTTGAAATTCCTCCTCAAATGCAAGGAAATCTGGATTGAGGATCTACATTTCGGATAAAATTTCAAGTATTCTTGTCAGTTGTCCTGCCTGTCCTTGGATCGATTCGTAGTTTGACAGGAGGATGTATTTAAGAACATCTTGATGGGTGTAAATCTTAGAACTAATTGATGAGTCTAAGGAAAATAGAGAATCATATAGTAAATGTAAAAACTACACAAGTTATGGACTTTGCAGCTGATGAATTTTTAAGAAGAGTGAAACTATTTGCTGCTTGTCCAATTGTTCGCTAATTTAAGCTAATTGCTGTTCTGACTGTAGAAATGAACTAACCAATTTTATCAGTTTCGTTTGATTGTTGCAATTAAATATTTCTTACAAGACAGTCTAATAGATAATAACCATTCATTACTACTGATTTAACAGCTCTATCACGTCTTGATATTTGATCATTGTCAGTTTCATTTGACTTAAGTTTCTACCAAGGCGCTTTAACTGATGATTAATTTTCATATCGAAAAGCTCTCTAGTTAAACTACTGAGTAGATAAGCCAGAATCACTTGTCTTTTAAGACTGGGTATATTGAATTTATTTAGAAAACATCTTTTATATAAATAATTAATTGTGCAAATTTATATGCACGAAATTTCAATAATTGATGTCCCCTCCTGAAAACTACTATTTCCTATCTTTCACAAAAGAAGTAAGTGACATTATTTGAATTCATTTATAATTAATTAATCATTCACTTCTAAAAATTCAAATTGACAAAATACGATCTCCCGTTTTCATTAGTCACTCCTGAATTTACAATTAAATCAATACCTATTTGCTATCTCTAACTATAAATTGGACTTATGGATCGCTACTGCTCCTTAGGTCTGTTCGAGTTCATGAATTACTTGATGTCCAATTTTATCTGTATAGGTTCCTTCTGCTGATTAGGTGGTACTGGAGGCTGTTGGTTGATGGTGGATTGTTGCTTAAATTATTATTGAATGGATCTATTTTGTGGTGAAATTCCTCTTATCGATCTTGATTCCACAACTTGTTATTGAATGATTTGTTGAGGTAATTCCTATCTATACTATTAGGCTTTAAAGGAGAATTGATCTTTAAAATTTTGATGCTATTAGTGAATATTTTCATTCTATTTCTCATCTTATTTTTTATTCTGACTCTTGCTTCTGGGGAGTGATTATTACTCACTAAGCATCATCTAAAAGTCCTAATTGATTTGTTCTTATTCATTTACTCTGGGAGTGAATTACTTTTCACTTTGGATAACTTTCATTTGATGATCATTCAGAGAATCTTGGAATGCGAATTATTTTGTTTATCTAGGATTTTTCTAGTGTGTAGTTGAACCAGATGAAATAAGAGCAAATTTGGTATTATTTTAGTCAAATGCTTTAGTTATATTTTATCTTTTACTACTATCATTCAGTAACTTCTTAAATTATTCAGGTAATTTTCTTGTTGCTTGTTATTGTTATTATTATTATTATTATTATTATTAAGGTTATTACTTCACATTTTAACCTCCTTCAGTTCTTTTATAGTGATTGATCATATTCACTTATAGTACTTCTGGAGATTTGGACTTGCTTTAATTATATGGTTCTGGTGATAAACCTGATCCTTTAACTTATCTAATGGCTGGAGATGCAACTCTAGCATTTTTTAATTACTAAAAAAATTAAGGATCTTCGCTTTTCTTAATTATAATTGTGTTTTATTTAACTTGTTTTGTGGTTTCTTCTTCTATCATGTAATTATCTTAGAATAGAATCTTCTCTTTAGACTTGTCAGTCCATTTATTCAATTAATGTTATTGATTGCTCTAAGGTGTATCATTCAATATGCTATTGCTACTCATGTTGGACAGGTTGGGGTTATAGTTCATAAATTAATCATTCATGAATTGAGATTCTGCTTGCACGAAGGGATTTTGGGATTGTGTCTTGGATTGAGTCTTGTTGATGATTGTACTCATTGGTTAGGGACTAATCGATCTGGTGTTGTTGATTTTGCTATTGAAAATCTAATTGGATATCAGTCCATCTGTTTTTTTCTATATTAATGAAGGAGATTGTTACTTGTTGGAACCCAATTTGCTTATTAGATTGTGTGTTGATGATTTGGAATTATTTCTACTCCTGTTGTTCGATCACTAAGCTTAAACTATTTGCATATCAATACCCAGAGGCTTGGCAAATTGGAGTATTTGATCATAGCGAATTTGATTGAGGATCTCATAGAGTGACAAATTTGAAATGTAATCCGGGAGATTTTATTCTTGTTCAATGGTTGCCATCATGTAACTAGTGTAAAAATGGTAAGGTGTACTTCTCCAATCTTGCAGGTAGTACTTGATCCAAAGTGATAGTTGAACTGCTTAGGGTTTAATGCAAGGGAGATGTTAGAATCATCTATTAATATTCCATTTCTATCAAATACATTGGAATCAATCATGTAGGGTGTGTATTTCAGACATTGGCCAATTTCAGCCAATTGGGCATTGTTTTCTTGACTCATAAGAAAAGTTGGACTTGCTAATTTCATGCAAACTAAAATATTTTATAAAAATCGTTATTAAAATATTAATTATTTTACTATTCAAATTCAAAATCCAATGGAACCACAGTTCGAAATAAATCAGTCCATCCAATTCCAATCATGTCACACTTCATCCTCTTGGGATAATGGAGTTGTAAATGCATCAAATCTATGTCTTAGATCACCACCATATTTACAAATAGAACGCCTATTCAGTATGTAGTTCAAACATCAAATAACGAGAAGTAATCACTTTCATTAATCTCAAGACTCTACCTCAATGAGCAGCAAATCAAGGCTATCGAATCGGCAGCAAAAACACATCAAGTCTCTTATAACATTGAATTCTAACGAATACTCTCGTAATTAATTATGCAAAAGAATGAAGACCAACTGATTGAAGAGGTAATCACTCCCATTATACTCTTAGTTGAAATCTCTGCTCAAACGTATCACACCCTAACAAGTTATGTAAGAACAGAATGGAGCCAAGATCATTTACACCACCTACCAATTTCTAATCATGAGAAAACCTTCCATACTCAGGAATTACCCCTTTGCTCCCACAAATCCAGTACTCAAACAACTCAAGAAACTAATTTATGCAATCAAAAAAGAAGTGCTTCTAAATGTACAAATTTAAATTTTACAATTAGTCGAACTTAATTTAAATACAAACTCACTCCAACTTAAACTCAGATTCATTTAAACACATCAAACTCAAAAAACAACTACAAAAACAATCACGCAAAATGACTCAAATTTACGATGACTCAGAAAAAGAAGAACAACCTACTGCCTTCTATGCCAATTTATGTAAATATCAATTTCTATATTCCAAGTGCCCAACAAATCAGCATTCCGACCCTACAAATCTGATTCTATGAATCATCAATTTGAATAATTATCTATTTAAACTAAACCCTCACCAAAAATCGATTAAATTAAAACTATCTATTTCAAACCCATTATTATATAAGGACTGCTGTGTTGAGGTTCTCGTCATGATTAATTAATTAAGTTGTTTCAATTATAAACTAAAAAAAAGAGTTATATATTTTAATCTTCCTCTAAGTCCACTCCTGTGATACAGAACAATTGAATCGCATTTGAACAAAGTTTAAAGATGAAAATTTGCACTTCATAGATTTATAAATTAATTAAAAGTTTTTTAGAAACCTTATACAGATGATGATAAAAGGAAACACATAAGATATAAATAATTTAATTTCTAAATCATATTCATACTCATATTCATTTTTTAACAGAAACATTTCTTCTAGTTGAAAAGGAAGTTGATGGTGCATGAATATAGGCATCTGTCTGTTTTCTTTAATCAATGGGGACATACTCTCTTGTTTTGTATCCTTGGTAATTTTATCTTGGTCTAACAATTTTATTTTCAGGGTCATCAAGGAATTCACACCAATGAGCAAGCCATCCAGAAATCCTTGGAATGGCAAACAACAAAGGAAACATATCAGTAGGAAATCCAAGAGCCTAAGATAGAATTGGATAAATAACTTACCTTATAAATGATTCCAGTATAGAAATCTACATTTGGATAGAGTGATCTATCCTTAAAGTACTTATCATTTAAGGCAATGTTTTCTAATTCCAATGCAATTTCAATCAATGGATCCTTGCCAACCAAATCAAACACTTAGTATGCTAATTATTTAACAATCTTGGCTCTTGGATCATATGACTTATAAACTCTGTGGCCAAATCCAAAGAGGAGCGCCTTCTTGTTTTTCACGTTTTCAATGAATTAAGGAATATTTTGTTTGGATCCAATTTTTTCAAGCATTCTCAAGACTGCCTCATTGGCACCACCATGTTTAGGACCATAGAGTGCAGCTGCAGCTCCAGCAATAGCTGTATAGATATCGACTCCGCTGGAAGTGAGATGTCTAACTGCAGAAGTGGAACAATTCAATTCGTGTTCAGCATGCAAGATGAAGAGGATGTCTAAGACCTTTGCAATTGTTGGATGTGGAGTGTAATTGGATTCATTAAGTCTATCCATCATATATAAGAAATTGTCGACATATCCCAATTATTAATGAGGTTGATTTGGTTGTCTTCCGATTCTATTTCTATATGCAAGGGCTGTGATGGTTGTGATGGATCCAATCATTCTGTGAATTTGTTTGTTCCTCGATTTTTAATCCTTATAATTTGATTATAGAGTACTGCGTAGATATTTTGTCCTGACAATGCTGGATTTGCCTCTGGATGCAGAGTACTCACTGCTGATAAGGAACTGATAACCATTCCCATAGGGTGAGCATCATATCTAAATTGGGACAAGAGTCCATACAGATCTTGGTGGACAAATGTGTGAGTTTGGATTCTGAAATTAAATAATAAATAATTGCATACTTTTTACACCATTTATCATATTGCAATTAAGTTGGCAATTCACCATAGATGAGCAGGAAGGCCACTTCCAAATAAGTGCTTTTTTCAGCTAATTGCTCAATGGGATAGCCTCGATATTCGAGAATTCCATTGTCTCCGTCTATGAAACTAATTTTGGATGTCTTGTATGAATGCAAAATGTACGCAATTAACTGTGTTCATATAACCAGGGTCATAAGAGCGAATGATTGAACCATTGTTATCTTTTATCTTCTCGAGATCGCTTGCCTTAATGGAATTATTAGAAATGGGGATCTCGTATTTCTTTCCTGATCTCGAATCCTGAATTGTCAATGTTGACTTGGTTGCATTCAATTGCTATCCCAGTTATTGAATTCTTATCATATTTAATGACTCTCTCCCCTATAAACACTTCTTCTTATTATTTAATCACTGACGCATTATTAATATAATTATCATCATATGCTCTCTATTTAATGTTATTTATTTTCCTACCACAAATGCTATATTCACACATAATTCAATTGCCCATAACTATAATTTTTATAATGAACTCCCAATTTATATTTAAATATTAACCGATTCATGAATATTCGCAAACCCCCCAGAGAGGGCCTTCGATCCATCGAAAACAAAGAAAACCTCCCTGACAATTCCTCAAAACCCCCTCCATTCAGATTAACCAACTACAGACTCACAAATCTCACCACCTACTTCAAAATTAGAACTCCCAGTCGAGGCCGAGAATTAGTCAAACTGGAAGACACCTTCAACACAAAAAATGAATAACGCTATCTGAGTACCAAGGAAAGTCAATAATGCAATGCACCAACCAATAACACCAATCTACAATAATTAAGACTTTCTTCCAAAATACAGAGGAAGAGAATCCAAGGCAATCTGAGTGCCAAGGATTCCACCAATCACCAAGACTCCCTCTATAAATAGATACCCTCCACATGCGATGAAAAGATTTATTCTATAGGACCTATAATTGGAAAGGGTAGTTATGCCATCGTCAAAATGGGAACTGACCGCCAAGGCAATAAGGTTGCCATCAAAATGTACGACAAGGCATTGCTCAAAGGTGAAAGGTTCAATAACCTAATCAAAGAAATCAACACTCTCAGAATTCTATCTCACGATCAAATCACCAAATTATATGATGTCTATCATTACACTACTTACATCAATCTAGCGATGGAATATTGCGGCACTGAGTCTCTATATCAACTCCTCAAGTCAACTCCCGCAAGAACTCTGCCCAAAGAATTTGCACTTAACATCATACATTAGTTACTCAAAATCTTACATTACATCCACGATAGGAATGTATGCCACAGAGATATCAAACTGGAAAATATCCTAATACAAAATAAACGAATTAAACTCATTGATTTTGGTTTCAGTACATTCACTAATCAACCCATATCTTGTCATTGTGGTACACCTAGTTATATGGCACCTGAAGTTGTCTCTAAGTTGAAATATGATGGAAGAGCAGCAGACATATGGGCTACTGGAGTTCTACTTGTTGCTCTCTTGTAAGGGAGTTTTCCTTTCAAAGGAGAAAACGAAAGAGAATTGTTTAAGAAAATTAGGAACAATGAATCCAATATAACAAATCAAGATCGTGATACATAGAAACTATTTTCGCGCATTTTTGTGATTGATCCCTATCAAAGAGCAACTGCAAAAGAAGTATTTTATAATGACCTATCATTTAGCTATTGTAATTAGATATCTTTAAAAGTTGAATTCAATATTATTATTTTATATCTAATATATATCATTCTTGATAAACGAAAGTCTTTCCATATTTATTGAAATAGATCTCCTCCTTATCCTACTCATATAGATTCAAGTAGAAATCTTAAAAATAGAAGTCATGATTCTTAATCTTCAAAGCAGGATTTCTGTATTACAAATCGTAATTTCTACTTGGAGCTAAGTACTTTTTCTTGTAATCTTAGAGTTGATCCAAGTACTCTCAGAATAAGAATGATATTGTTACTTGGATCCAATTAGAATTCAGGCCGACCATCTCTTACTGGATCAAACACTTTTCTGAAATTGTAGATCCCTTTCTCTGATGATAAAACTTAGGTTTATTGTGGATACAACGGCTACTTCAATCCTAATTCTTGATATTTGAGTTTTATCCTATGTTAAATTTCCTCATTGAACTGATTAGAAGTCGGCAACGCTAGGGATATAATTGGATAATCTTACTCCTTTAGGTAGCAGGTGAGTATCCCATTTGGTTCTAGGTTTGTTTATGAGTTTAGTGTTAGAATTATGATTATTTCATTAACTGTAGCTAGTTGATTGATTTAAGAAATATATTTTAATAATATTAAAGTATGTATATACAATCAAGAATGATCTCTTACATTGATTTTTTTAAGAGATGGAAAATAGATGTTGACAATCCTGTTATCTTTTGAATTTGAATTGTTTAATTTGGGGTTCTTTGGAGAGACTATTTTCGCTTGTAGATTCTTTTTTCTTTGTTTGTTAATTAAATTTAGTAAAGTGCTCTACTTTTGGCTTGATTTCTCGCGATCACTTTAAATTCCTTCAATTTTATCACATCTAGTCTCCTACGATTCCACCAATTGAACTGAGTCAGTAAAAATCAATTTATTTTTTGGTGCCTGTACTTAAGCATCTATTCCATATAACCTGAAGGAGTCTTTGAAGAATCTATTTCTGGGAGTGATTTGATTGGATGACATGAACTTATCTTGAACAAAGGAATGATTGAAATTGCTTTGAGCACAATTGATATCTTGGAAATGCCTATCCAAAGATCTCATGCTGTCATCCTTCCTATTGGAGGGTTGTCTACTTATATGTTTCAATTTTAAATGCTGACTTGTGCGAATTTCAAGCAAGCATTGTTGTTGGTGTGAGTTCATGAATGAGCTACGCTTGCTCTTGGGGGGTGAAAGTTAGCTATTAGGAAGCAGTAAGTTAGGAGTCTCTTAAAATTTTTATTTTATTTACTCTCTTATACGATGATTATTCTCCAATAATAAATTACGATATTTTCTCCACTTTCTAGATGGATGGGGAGTGCATGCTCTTATGGTATAATTTTGTAAATATTCTTGCATGTCTCCTCTCTTGAAATATATGGGATTCTGTATTCTGTGATTGTTGGGACGACTTTCCTTCCACATTTTACTGACTGTTCTCGCTGCATCGTAATCTCTGAACCAAAAACCTTTTGGAAGAGATGAAGAAATAACTATTTTTCCTCGAGAATCCCTTTTTCTTGGTTTAATCTCATTGGCCAGTTGAAAGAGCTTCCTTTTTGAAAAGTAATTCAAGGGAGCCTGAAAATTGAAAAATTAATGCCCTTGTATTGTATTTAATTTATACATAATTTATATTATTTCAATTATTTATCCCTTACATCGGAATTATACAATTTTTATAAATATCAAATGATAATAATTTATTATAATATTATGAAATAATTATTATGCAAGATTACGGAGTCAAGATAGATTCAACCCATATTCATAGAATGTTCCAGTTCTCTAGATTTCTTGTGAACTAACATATTTTATGTTTACTTAGAACTAATTTGATTAAAGAACAATTAATTGGTATTATTTAAATTAACACAATTAAATTGAGACAAAAACATCAAAAGTTACCAGAAATAAAGTGAAATTTATCATCTTAATGGTTTATTATAATATTTCATTAACTTTATTCATTTCTAAATATCTAACTTATAGATTAGTTGAAGTTAAGTTAAGTATTACATCTATATTTTAACATATATGATGTATTTGATGTGCTTCTTTTATGAGTACTATTAGTTTTGGTTTGACTTAATGTATTTTATATAAATGATTCTTGACTGTGCTGACTCTTCTTTATTGATTGGGTATCATATTAAAAGGTACTCTGAGAAGACTTCTATCTCATCATAATTCTTTTCTGTATTGAGTATGTGGCTGTAGAAAATCTTGACTTATTATCATTTACATTCTTGTAGCATTTCAAACATAACTTAATCTTTTAACTTATGAATGGCACATTCTACTTCAGACCCTGATAGTGATTGAAATCCAAACTGGGATAGATGAATCTGAGTATTTTGGGAACCAAACAATCCTTATCCATTTCTATTATTGGAGGGTCTTGTTTATATTTGATCTCATGATGTCTATCCCAACTCTCAATGATCTCCCTTATTGAAATCTAAGGAATACTCACAATCATAATTTACTTCTTCGAACAAATTAACATTTTGAATTACTTTACAACCAACACACCTTTGATTTGTAAATTCAATTCTATTAGGCCCTTTAGGCAATGGCACTTTCAGAGATAACTTCACATTACTATTACTTCTACTTTAACTTGCGGTTCTCACTTTTGAACAAAACAATAGATAGATTTACCCATCTATCCCTTATCTAAAATATAACTCCATTAAAGATATATTAATCTTCTCAAAAGTCACATTGCAAATATGCTGCTGAATTTCTTGGCAAGTCAATTCTAAGGTTTTCGCCAACACATTCGAGTTCAAGCTAAGACATTGCATAGACATTATACGTAGTGCTAATTGTTGGACCGCCATCTGTCTCAAAAGTTGTAATTCTTTGATTTGGATGTAATGAAGTGTTTGCCATTTTGTTGATATTATAAATTTACTCGAATATGCAACTATTCTTTTACCAAATACATTTAATTGTGCTATTACATTCCCTTTTGGGGCATACAAACCCTTATAAGACACCGTCAGCTTGGTAATCTAGTTTCTCAATAAAATGACCGACTTCCTACTTATTCATATAATGAAATTTAAGTTTCTCATTTTCTTTGAAAATCCACACTGCTTCAATTTTATTTGTACTCTCTGAATGGAATACCTCTTTTAAGTAATCCGGATCCAACTTCTCCTTACTTTTTCTCATAATCACGCCTTGTCTGCTGAAATACCAAAACTTCACATATCCTGCCTTTATTTACAGAGTATACGGTATGTTTATCAATGGTGCTTTCTATTAATTACGTAGACTTACTTTTGAAATTGGGTCCTTCAACCATAAGAAATGCAACAAATCATATACAAATCCATCTATTTCTGAAAATTTTAACTGCATTGCACAAATAATAAATTCTCTAAAATATATAATATTATATTATGAAATTCTAATTAGGAACTAAGTAAGTTGAAATTTTGCTTTGTAAATTTATTATTTGTTGTATAACTACAGTATTTCCTTTAGAATAAGGTGGTTTTACTTAAGAGATAAAATATATAATGATATTATTCCTCTTTTTAGTAAAAGGAGAAACTTCTTAAATTTGTATATTCTTGAGAATTTCTAATAGCATCAAAATGGAGAGGGAATAAAGTTAAAATTAAAATTGAATGATAACTAAGGAAACTATTGAAAATATTAAAGGAAACCTTATTAGAGAGTTATGCATTTAATAAAGAGACTGTTCTATCTTGAGATTCTTAAGAAGTAGTGATAAAATTGTGATAACATTTGCAATATTTCTAAAAGGTTAACAAAAGAAGGCAAATGATAAACAATGCCATATTCGCTTTAATTGTTTCTTCTCTTCTTTATGAATGTTAGTATGAATATAAAATATCTCTTGATAAATGATCTTATTTATATATTGAAATTACAAATAAAAAATTAGCAGCATCAGGGATGGATAATGGATAAATAATTAACTTATAAGATTTCAATGAGATTGAGTGTGATAAAGAATATATTGCATTTACCTTTGGCAACAACAATAAAAAGCTCAAGAATTACGAAAAAGCTTTAGAGAAATTCAAATCTTCCATTTAACAAGGCCTCATCTATATCGATAATAATTTTGACTTTTTCAATGTCAATACATCACAAGATGGAGTCCTTATAGATGAATTCAATAATAAGATTGAAGTGATTGATGAGCATATTATTGGCACTTAGGTTGTGTTGAAAAAAGATAGAACCCAAATATTGAATGATAGAAAAAGACACTTAATCAACATTGATCCTCATTCCTATAAAATAGAGGGCAAGCTGGAGGAGAAGAATTCGGATAACAACAACCATTTGAATAAAATTGATTAATTAATTAAGGAGAAAAAGAATAAGGCAAAGAAAAAAACTATACACAAAAAATAGTGAAAGAATTTAACAGTGTTTTATAAATAAGTTTTATTATTTAGAATTCATACATGTGAACGTTTTTTGCTATCAGTGTTCATTAGTTATAATAGTAATATCACATAGAGTGAACCAAAATTAAATTAATCAATCAATTCCATTTCTATATCCTATATTAAATCTTGAAGATAAATATCCAATTATATCTTAAAGCAACAGAACTCAATAATTTTATATCAAATATTCTGTATAAAATTATTTGTATAAATTAATATGAAATATTTATTATTTTTACAAGATTAATCTAAATTCATCTGTGAATTTGCTATGGTTTTCGATATTTAGAGTAAAAATTAAGTTAAATTTATAATTGTCAATCTAGAAGATATCAATCGTAAATAGAAGAGTATAATTTCGATTATTTTGCTACATTGAGTAACTCGTTAAAGTAGTGGGAATTCTAAACAAATATGCAACATATAAAGCGAGTTAATTTACAAGCTAAGATAGAATTGTATTGATATGGAAAATTTATTAAAGAAAAATTTGGAAAAAAATTACAAATTCAAAATTGATCTAAGCCTAAGACTAATAGACTTGATGTGACATTTGGATCGATTTAGTTTTCAAGCAGTTCATCTATGCTTTCAGTTGGTTCCTCATAATGGATCAGAACCAGGGTTTGAAATCCTCTGTATTAATGTTTGGATGGTGTTTTAGTGGGGGGTTTATTGCATCTATTACCTAAAAATGAATAAAGCGTGAGTTAAACATGTGTTTCTGAATGAGAAGTTAAGATTTTTGCAATAGCCACATACCCAATCCCCAATTCGCTGCTTCCTTTTTACAATGTAGGGAGAATTATTCATGTAAATATTAATTATTATTTAAATTCAAAATTTAATAACGATATATATATACGAATTAAGAATTTATTATTTATTATATGAGAGCAAGTATTAATGAATCGAAGTTTGGTTGAAATTGGTACTGAAGAGTGTTTGACGTTTTGAATTATCAATTCTAATAATAATATAAATAATGATTTAATAATAATCGTAAGTTTCAAGAGAAAACAATTGGGAGTTGTAATAGGATGGCCAAGTGGGCGAATCGGATGCACTGGTCAATATGTAAGTGGCATACAATTGGTTAACTTCTGTATATACTGGTTTAATTAGGCTTTAATGATAGTGATTGTGTTTAATTCCTTTCTTACTCTGTTTTTATCGTCATTGACATTCGGACTGAGTTTCAGAGTTCCTCTGTTGTTCTTGAGCGTGGTGCACTTGATCTACCTCATAAAAACATGCATAGTTCATCACAAAATGTAAAAATACTAAGTAAAATAAGAAGAGCTAAAACTGATTTTGATTGCTGTTTCGAATTGACATGGAATATTGGTCTAATCTCATATTACGTAATCGATAGTCATAAATTATAGAGTTGTTTGATTTACTTTGTTGAATACCAGAGCTTTTAAATACAATACTTAGGAATGCTGTTATGTTTTTACAATGCAATTTGGATGTTTTATAGTGGAGTGCAATTGCATAAGAGGAAATCCGAGAAACTTTAATATAATTTGGTACCTAAAATAGAATAAATGTAGTTGGGTGTTTTCGCCAAGTTGTGTTTTATAACATAGTTAACCTTTATCAACCTCAAACTAATCGATTGGTTGTCCATTCATTGGCTATATGCCTTTGTAATAATCTGGTTGTTCCTATTGATAGCGATATTTTTGGAATTGATATCTCTATTTAATTTGTCTGCTCAACTGAGTAAATATTTCAACAGCAGCAATGTGGAAGTGAAGGTGTAGATGGGAACCAAAATAGTGGGTTTAGTTTGGATCTCGATGTTTTTCTTTAGTTTCGCTGGGATACCAACTTACACGATGATAAATTTGTGTTTGTATTTGTAAAATGAAGACGGAAGAAAAAACTATTTACTGGCAATAATTGTAATTGCGTTTTACACGGTTGTTTATATGGTGTACACTATATATCACAAAGAATTGCTGACATTATTCATATTGAATTTGCATTACTTCGTTCGCATAAACGAGGATCGGAATCAAGATAGGCAGATCCTGAGTTTTCCGAGTTCCAGAAGTCACAAAAAGTTTGTGTACTCCTTAAAGGAGAATACACACAAGAACAACCTCGTTGAGTATCCAACCTAGATGGTTAAGATTTCAAGCACTTATTATCTGCCAGACGAATTAGTCATGCGAAGACATCAAACTGAGGTCAATATCGTCACCAGCAAATAAGCTACAATCACTGAAGTGGCTGTTCAAGAACCCACAATGAAACAGTGCTTCAATTGCATCCAAAGACAGAGTTGTGTAGTCTGTATGCCATGCGGTCATGGGGGCATGTGTTGTAACTGTGCCATGCAGTGGTTTGAATAAAACAAAGAGTGTCCCATTTGCAGAAGTGTAATTGATGATCATTTATATGAACTAGCTTATCAAGGCTATACTTCAGATAGTGCAGATTGACGAGCAAACAGTTAAGGTAGTGGAAATTATTGCATAAAACTGAAAATGATATAATGATATATTACTTATTAATTAAATTTATGAAACAACCAATCTTAAACAAAGGATCAAAACCTGAAAAGAATCCAACTTCTTACAATAACGACGGGTTCGGAAGAGACACCTATATTTCATACAACAATGGTGGCAATTTTGGCACAGAATTCAGATTTCTTACGATGCAATAGAACAGAACAGGAATGAACATGATGCCAAGTCCTGCATCCAGAGCCTCGGAAGTACCCTAACGAATATTCTATTAATGTGATGGAACTGGGAGGGACACCTACGTGTTGTATGAATGATTTCCTGTATGTAGATTAAATGTGTAGGAGAAGTACTCTCCTATGCAAAATTACAAGAGGATGCTTCGAAGCTCGGATCAATTCTTCTCCAGTCCCAAGTACAGGTATGAATTGCCACCACTTGCCCGAGAAAGGTTCAGGAAAACTCAATAGTCTCAGAGGAGTCTCATCAGTCGATTATCTTAACCTAAGCTGAAACAAAGTTGTTGAATTATAATTAATGGGTTAACAATTGATTGAATATTTCCCTCTTAATACTTTGATGCTTATTAATGGTTCATTCCCTATGCCTGTGATGATCACCAAGAAGCTATTCAACGCACATCACGAAAAGACTACTCCCACAATCTAGTTGAAAAAGAAAATTAGAAAATTTTATCATAAGAGACATTTCTTGTTCAAGAAATTTGATGAAGGGATTGTTTTAGATGAAGAATCTTGGTATTCTGTTGTACCTGAAGAAGTTGCCTCTTATGTTGCTGAACGATTACACAAAAGAATTATTGATCAAAAAATCCCCATAAAATAAGTTATTGATGGGTTCTGTGGTTCTGGGGGATTAGCCATTTAATTAGCTTCAAAATTCGACAATCTGCTTTGCATTGATCTCGACCCTGTGAAATTAAAAAATTTACAAGCGAATGCTGTGATTTACCAAAGGACAATAGAGACTCAATTAAACAATTTTTTATTGATTGAACATGAATTCGATGAGAACACCATTCTGACTCTATGTCCACCTTGGTATATATGAATATTAATTTGTAAGGGGTGGATTGGATTATTTTAAGAAGGAGGTTTACGATCTTGAAAAAGACATGACTCCTTGTTTATCTGATATTTTGAGAAAAGCCTTTTCTATTAGTTGCAATATTGTGCTTCAATTACCGAAGAATGTTTCAATCTCATAACTCACTACCTTAATTCAATAATAATCTTAACATTTAAACTTTAAACGCTATTCTCTTGAAATAGAAATGATTTATATTAATAATTAAATAAGTTAATTGTTTGTGTATTTTGGATAGATAGTCAAGTGCAACTATGATGCTGAAATAGATTGCATCCTAAAATCACAAACCCATTTGGATAGGAAGACAATTAAAGAATAAGGATTAATACAAACATTGCAGAAATTAGAAATCCATGATTAAGTTAATTTATTAAAATAATGAAATAAAAAATTGATCGTTCACGCATTCCCAACTCATCCCAAGACATCCTCATAGTCCCTGTCTACGCTGACAAATTGGGTTTCTCCTTGCCTGCCAAGCTTCCTTACATGCCAGTCTCAGAAGATTCCATAGCTGAAACTGTGTTCCAAGCCAATCGCATTTGTTAAAAAATCAGATGTGAGAAAAGTAGAATCGAAGAGAGCGACCCTCTCGAAACTGAGAAGTTTTATGGTATGTCTCAATATCCACTATCCCAGTTACGTCCTCCTGGGTCCTATTCATCGTCGGAGTCATCCTATTTGTATTGGGCTTCTCTTATGAGGATTTGAAATCGACCTTGACCTTACTGGGCACCATCTTCATTGTATTACCTACACTCATTTCCATCATTGTAGTTATCATTAGCATCACCAAATCCCCCAAATTGATTGACCTCGAATAGGAATGCACCAAGAAATTGGGAGAATTCTTTGAAGTCCAAAATCAACAATACAGAAAAAAGGGATTGCAATGGTCTATTGGAGATGAGATGTTGTGGATTTAGTTGGAAAAAATATGACTTTTAAATTATTAATTTATATAACAATTAACAATGCAATAGATAAAAAGGAATATTAAATTAAATTAATAATATACAGAGGCAGAAAGGTATGATCAGAACTTGAAATCCATCAGCAGAAACACATGGTGGCATGAATCAAAATCTAAATATGACAAAGTCAACGAATTGAAATTCATGAATAAAGTGTAACGTGCAATCTATTAATTTGTGTAGCTATTCTAAAGAAGTCGAAAATGCCTATTAAGAATTGAAGAAAAGAAGAAATTGCATGCTCAAAGATCTTTACGAATAAGAAGCACGAGAATGGGAATAAGAACTCAGAGCCAGAGGATTAGCAATCTACAAAAACAAATTATGAATTATCAAAATATATATTTATCATATTCAAATCCTTTCTATTTTTTCACATCCCTTTGGGTTAATGAAATACTTACCCAAATCCATTTCGTCATTCATTTTCAATCCCTATAAACGTGAGCTCAATCCATCTCTTCTGCCAAAGTCCAAACAATAATTTCAGGATTTCCAGAAATGATCTTATTTAAAGTTTAAGTACCTTACTAAATAGAATTGATAATTTAAATTAAAGAAATTTAATTGAAACTTGGGTCGGAATAATATTTATTAATTCTCTATTTAAATTAAGATTTTAATGGATATTACATATCAGATAATTTATTAAAAAGTAGCTAAAAATTAATTTTTATTTAAATTTTCGAGAGTATTAAATGAGAAAACATATAAATAAGTCCAGAACTTACTAGAAGATTTCTGAAGATTAGAAACAAAAACTCTTGAAATTAGTTTGCTTTTTTGGATTTAAAATAAAGGATGTATATTATCTAATAATTTACAAATAGGCAGCTAAATAATTGAATATCAAGTATGCGGCAGCCAAAACATATATGATTTTCCATAGGAACAATGTTATGATGTCTAAACATTCAATAAATTCGGAATAAGAATGTTAGATTGCACCACTTTCATTAAAAAAGTGCAAGTTGACAATTATATCGAAAATAGGTGGAGACGTGGTTAAATCACTTTAATTTGAGTACCCTATGATCAAATAAGAATGATTCTATTTCTATTTCAATATATACATACAACTTTAACTATGGAATTTTCTATTTTCTTATGTGTGATTTTGGTTATAACAATAATTGATCGTAACCTGATTCTGAAGTTTTACAAATAGAAGCATCTTAAATTACAGTACATTTAGATCCATCCAGAAAATTACTCTGCATTGACTTGTATTCGATTTTCTTATTTTAAACCTGTCCACACGAAGAATTCTTCTGAAGGCACAAATGGGTGGCTCCTTAACGACACGGTTATGCTAATGAATAGAAATAAATGATTATAATCAGTAATATTTTCTATTATTTTTATTAAGACCATCCAAACTTTAAGCAACATTACTATAAGATTCAAGTGCGAAACCTAAGAAAAAGCATTGTTTTAAGTGGAATTAGTGAATGAGGAAATTATAAACATTCTCATTCATTTATAAAAAGAAATATGAATTTTAATTAATATGTTACAATAAAAAGGGTATAATTAGAAAGCTTATATTTTTTTTGAAATTTCGCATTCAGTATTTTATATCCAAAACCAAATTAAGAATGATTTAATATCAATATTACTTGTAAATTGCAATATAGATTGGATTGTCTGTCTGAAATATCAAACTTTATAATTATTTTAATAAATTAATTATAAATAAATCAATAATTACACTACTCTTTATTGTTCTTTACTAAAACATAATCCTATGATTTTTATCCCTAAAAGACACTAGAAATACATATCTTTGCGATTGATCTGCAATGCAATTTATTCATGTGTAGACAAAAATATTCAAATTAGCTAAATTAGAAATATTTTAATCATTCCGAGGAATGGACCATACGAGAAAATCAAGAAGAATTGACTGTATTTGGGTGAAAGGTGGATAAATCATAAATCCTATTAATACACGCATTTTGCTAATTCCTCAAATAATTTTTAAGAAAATCAACTCAAGTATAGACATCTAATCTAAATTGATTTTTGATGATCAAAATTTCCGATTGGCAAAGTTTACATATTTATTTATATATAAATTAAAAATAAATATATTAAAAAGTCACTGAAAATAATTAAATATGATATTTTTAATAAACTTAGTTTTGCTTGATGGGATAATTATAAATTCAAAAATAATGATGAATGAATATTAAAATTATTTTTAATAAAGCTATAATTGTTGTGTTTTCTCATCCATTAATTCTATAAATTATTTTTGATAATATCTTAATTGGGATTTAATAATTAATGAAATAACTTTTTATTGCTTCCAGACCATATTAAAAAGTATCATCCTTTTAGAGAAGGACTCTTCTGCAGTTGGTATTTATTAAGGGTTTTAAAATTAAACATGTAAGATATTTGTTCTTTATTCAAAAAAGGCAGCCAAAAGTCTCAATATCAACTACCCAGGAGCCAAATCGATCATTGTTTATCATAGAACAAAAGTCATCCATAAGAAATCAAACATCAATTCCTCCAATTAATGCCGAAGCGCTCCCTTGAATATGTGCAAGAGCTCACTAACAATAATATCAAGTATTGGGGGAAGCCAAATCACTTCTAAAATACATTTTCAATATGAAATCCGAAATGATTCATCATATATTATTACATCAATACCTATGTGAAATACTTTGAGATTCTTTTCTTAGTGGTAATCTACTCGCTACAACCTATTTCATTTATCTTTAATCCAAATATATATATATTCGTTGTGGTTAATTCTGAATTAGACCATAAAAAGTAAGTTGAATCAAATTACTTGCAATCTCACCCCCTAATCAAACTATTGATGGAGAAAATATGTGATTGATTTACTTTAATATCGTATTTGTGCATCCACATAACATATTATTGGTTTCTAATTAATGCAGGGTCCATAATACCTCTTTTGAAATTTTGAAATTCAAACCTTTTGTTCTTTACTTTAAAAATCTTATAACGATAGCCAAAAATAAAATCAATCAATAGAAATTGGGAGGAACAAAATTTAAATTTATAAGACTTTCTAGAAATCTTCCAAAAAGAATAAATTATATAAAAAATATAATCTCTTGAGAAATACAACCACAAAGTATTTCGAGTGAATTTTGGTCAGAAATAACACATATTAAAATTTAGACAAGGCCTTCTACATGAAATAATAAACTATATTAATTTTGTTATTCCACTTTATACAATAATTAATTATTGAATTTGTGTTTAGAAATTACTATTAGTCAAAATTCTGTTTTATGAAGTCTTGAAATCTATTGATATTATTTGAGTCCGTGTGATTACAATTGGGATAAAATCTGTAAATTTATGAGTTTTCTATTATTTTTGATTCCCCCCTTTTTCAATATCTAAGTGATGTTTTTTAGTATATATACTTTTAACTTATAATAATTGATTATATGAGTAATATTTATTAGATTTGCAATTATAAATGTTATACTTCAGACTTCTTAAAAAAGTAATAGTTTGCTTAGTATATAACTAAATTCCATTTATAATTAGTCAATCATACCAAATAAGTTATCCCTCGCTCAATTGTAGTGAGTCTTTAATCTATAAATAAGCAGTTTAAAAAACAATTACTGAAGTGAGATTTTGAAGAGTAACACTGTGAAATGAAATTCAAGTTCCCCTTCTAAGGAATTTAAATAATATGTTGGAACTCTTAAGGGGATTTAATTTTAGTTTTAATTTATAAATGTTGTGATTGTATTGAATATTTATTACATGTAATTTATCTAAGATATTAAGGAGCTTAAATGTACAGAACATGAATACAAAATCATACATATAAATCGCAGTTAAAATATAAAAATGGGTGCAAGAGTGAGATGTGAAAAATGTACAATTACTGCAGGAGGAGATTACGTTCACATTGATGATTTCTTAAAAGATCTTGATGACAAAATAGGAATAGTAGAAGGAAAGGAAAAAGTTAATTTGAACGAATTTGAGAAGTTCTCTATACCTTTGGAATAAGTGTTAGCAAATTATAAAGATGAATTTAATTCTACTGTCTCTCTAATCATTAATGAGGTTCAAAAAGTTAAGCAATATATCCACGAATATTTCTCCATCTTTGAATAGCCTTTAGAATCTCAATCTCTGAGTCAATTTGAGAATATTTGTCACAAAGTCTGTTCCAATGTCTTCGATCAGTTTAATCTGAAAAACTAATATTCCCGCGTGGTTGTCCCAATTAAGTAACTCATAAACATGCAAAAGTTCTATTCTAATAAGTTAATAACATGTTTTAAGCAACTTTAAAACGACATGACTAATTATGAGCATACGCATAGTTTTAATGTACAGGGCAGAGTTTGTACAGCTATGACTTTCGGTTAAAGTGATGATACCTAAATTATTGCAATGGCATTGGAGAATTAACTGAAGATCTACGAACTATTAATGGAAAAAAATAAAGTAATTGAAAGATAGTGTTTTAAACATTTTACTCATAATATCGCTAGTGTTGTTTTTAGTGATGATACTAAATATTTAGTAGCAGGAGGCACATTTGACAAGCGAATGAATATCTATGTAGAATGTCCGACAAAAAAAAAAGAGTATGAACTAAAAGCAGAGTTAATATACCAAAATCCTATCTTCAGTATCATCTTTACTCCAAACAATGAAGATTTAATATCAGGTTCTGGATGTGATCTATTTTGCATTAATAATGAGGAAATGGAAAATGTAATTGATTTGAAATCTCAAAAAGTTAATAAATTTAGTGAAGCTGAAAACAAAAATAAATTTTAGTTAGATCATTCTCATAATAACACAGTGTATTAATTGAATCACTATCATGCCGAAGGTAAAAAGTAGAAACTCATTTCTTGTAGTTATGATAAACAAATTTTTATATGGTTAAAACAAGATACATGGAATATGATCAAAAAAATAAGATTGCAGAATTCAGTATATAGATGCAGTTTCGTTGGAGAAGACAGTATTGTAGTATAAGAGAATTCGAGTAGACATTTGACATTTTACAATTAAGTATTAAGTGGAGGAAAGGTTTGCTAAACATATGAATTTAATGATTTAAATACTGATTTATCACATAATTTCCCCATGATTTATCTTGAACCTTCAAATCTATTGATTGTGAAACATAACTCTAAAATAGTGTTTTTTAAAAAAAGATCCAAAAATGGTATCTTTTATAAAGAAGATGAAAAGAATGGAGAAATTGGAACTATTACTCCTGATGCTAAGATGTACATGAGTTGGGATAGAGAAAAAAAAAGGCTGATAATTTACTAATAAATTGACAAATTTTAAGTTGACAAATAACTATTTGATGAGAGGTATTCGAAAAACCAATCCAAAATTACTGAAGAAAGGACCATTTAAAATTTGCTTCAGACAAATACCTAGGAGGAAAATTAATTAAGAGGATTAAATACTAATGTGGAAAACAGAGGCCTTCATAGTAATGATATTAGATTGGAAATAAATAACGATAATTTACATAGGGACATTAACACCGATGACAATAGAAGATTAGTTGATATAAACGACTAAGATTCTCCACAGTTAGTTTAGTTTAATTGAAACAGCATCATTTTTATAATAATATTATAATTATATAATAACTATCAAAATATATTACATGGAACCAGAATTCCCAAATAAATTGCATTGCATAATCCAAAGGATTAATTCTTTTTTAATTGGAACTATGTAAATTAATATTAATATGTACTCTTCCATTCATCAATTATTGAAGTACTACCATTAGTAGAGTCCCAAATATGAACGCAGTACAAACAAAAAGTAATAGCCAAATTTCTATCATAATCGTTATGAATCCTGCGAAGCAAAGCATTAAGAAATAAACTAAAATATTTAACTAAAGTTTACTTTCAAATCTAACCTGTCTCTATTCTATGGCAAAATATAAAATAGTTATTGCAATTACTATACAATTTGTTATAGACTAAAGGACCAAAACCACGTATATTACCCCAATCATGTAAGAATCGCTGATAGCTTATTTACTTTAGAAGTAGAAATAGGAAATGATAGTTAAACTATAGAACAGTATAATTAGGAAGCTATTAATGATGGCTCTTGGATTCTATCTATAAAATACTCGAAATACTTGCTGAAATTTCTAATATTTTCCAGAGATAACAACTACAAGGCTGCAAATAGAACTAATGAGGCAAATTATTGAAGAAAATTTTCCATCCATCCTGGATCGATCTAAGTATACACCTATAAACAATGATAATCCATTTTAAATTATTTGCATTAAGAGATATATTGTAAGTGCTTTAATGATTTCTTTTTTTTTTACATGGAATGGCTAATCTTTAAGATCATTTGTTATTGCTTATTAGGGTATTTAACCAATTTCAAGTGATTAAATAACTGGAATACCTAATTAAATTGGATGTGTTGGTATTGGTGGAATAGGGGGCATACTTGTCATGTTAGGTATATTGGTTTAATTTGGTATAGATTGTTATTGATTTTGTAGTTAAACATTTTAATGTTGAGGGTATTGAGGATTTGGCATATCATTTGCAGCTGAGTAGTTAGAATTTATTGAATATTGGTTATTGCCATAAGCCCCCATCTAAGGTTAGTAATTTTCAGAAGCATTATATGGGGCCAAAGGAACATTGTCTTAATTTCTAGCATTTTAATTTCCCATTTTATCAAAAATAATCAGAATATAATATTTTAATTAATTAAAAAGTATTTCTAAACACAATATAGACAGTTATCTATGTGAATACCTAAGCTTCTTATTTTTATATTTAATCTATTAATTCTAATTTAATAAATTTTTATTTATCATCTAAATTCTAGTTCTTACTAAAAGGAGTATTAAAAATTAAGGGGATAGAGAGTTCTAAACATAATAAGTACATTATCTCCATATTATATTAGAATAAACAAAATTGTTAATTTTACTGATTGATTAAATCCATTTTTAACATAAAGATAATTCTAAGTATTTTGAAATAGAATCGACTCTCTCCAAAATATATATTCATTAATTATATCAATGGCTGAATTGTAATCCTTATTATTATGGCAGAATTCAACAGAGGAATTTTCCATGATTTTCGCGCTTTAATTAGAGCATTTCGACAAATTCAATACAAAAATGTTGAATGCTATTCAATCAATTATTAATCACAAAATATTGAATTAATTCATAATAGAATAACTTAAATAAGGACATAGTGAAATTGAGTCTAAATTTAAAAAAACTACTTTAAAAACCACTTTAATTAACTAGTAAATGGATTAAATTCTTATATATTATATTTACAATATAGTTTTTGCATGAATAAAAATGTTATTATTCAAAATTAATAAATGTCTTTAATTCAGTTAATCGATTACACAGATTTACTTCATCAACTTGAGGAGTTTCAGTTTAATGGAGATAGTTGGAGTGACATCTTGTTTTGAGAGTAATAAATAAAATAAAATTATTATTTACAAATATGTCGCGTTCAAGTATTCCAAGACAATTGCCACGTAGATATTAGCAGTTATTATGTTTCAGCTCTGTAACAAAAGAGAGGAGGGGAAGGGGAAATGCCATTTGGAGGGTAGTAACAATTATCATAGCCTGCAGAGAAGAAGGTCGATTTTGCGAATTCAAATTTTGAGCAGAATGAAGACCAATAGGAGAACGAGGATGAAGTAATTGTGTGAGTATTGAGGATCTGAGAGATTGTAACCTGCGCCGAATCATGATAGTGGGATGACATACTCCAACTTCATGAACGATGATATAATTTTTAATTGTTACTCTTTGGGAGATCGAATAGGAGCCCGATTAAATCGATTGATTCATTGTGATCCGCCAAGACTTACGTTTGTGGATCGCTTGAATAAGTTGGAGTACGATTAAATTGTGAACCCATTCTCATTGAGTGAGAAGGACAAGGCCCAAATTACACCAGACAGAGTATGGTATTGGAATGAGATTGTAGTCAGTGGTAGTGAGGATAATTGGGACATCGCAATTGCAGATGGATACGAATATTCAGCACCCTTTCATTCGGATGCATGTGATCAACATTAAGAATGGGTGCTATTTGTATAAGCCAAAAAACGAGGACAATTAACCAAGAGAGTTCACGAATGCAGTGTACAATTATGAGAGCAATTGCATTACTAATATAGTGGATGGAGAGAGGGAGAGGGTCACTTGTGAATTGGAGTTGCTTACTGCTTTTTCGACGAATTTCTGTGATATGCGAATGGCGACCAATAGTAGGGCAGATTGGAATGAGGAAATATTGATTAATATACCTGCAGATGAATTCTATAAATCAGATACAATAATTTTGTTTGAACTCCTCGATTTTCATCCTATTTATTTATAATAACATAATAGTGAATTTTTGGATTCAGATAACTTCTATAGAATAGCTTGGGGTTATACACGACCAAATGGGCTATGTAGATTGCATTTGGGATTGAGTAAGGTACAGTTGTACAAGTATTTGTTTGATACGAGTAAATTGAAATCAGTAAGCAGGAGAGAATCAATTCCTTTGGTGTATTTCGATTTCCTCTGGCTTGACAAAGTCGAATATGATGCAGTTTTGAACGTGTATTTGGGAACTGAACCTAAGCCATCATTCATTGAGATTTACGGCAAGAACACTAGTACCAATGTGTTCGAGATTGAAAAGGGAGATGAGGAAGCAAGAGAGAAAGTGAAGCATTCTGTTGTCATAGACAAAGTGATTGAATAGAGAGTGGAAGAAATCACAGACTAAGAGAAAATTAATTTAAGGAGACGTCGTTATCTTGGAGACAAGGAAGATCACATTCCAGATAAGATAGCCTACAAATTCGCCAGTGCTCCCTTGGGATGTTATAGATTAGCCTTCAATAAATTTGGTAATTATCTGGCATGTGCATGTACTTACAAAAATTCAAAAACCATAATTAAATTATTTGATGTCGAAACTGGTTAACATTTCACGACATATAAAGGACATAGAAATATCATTCATGATTTACAATTCTCTCAGAATTCTCAATATTTAATTACAGTATCAAGTGATTACACAGCCAAAGTTTGGAGTGTACCTCAACATTCAGGTGACATTGTGACTGAAGAAGACTCAGATTTAATGCAAATCTGTCAACTCCAACATCCATCTTTTGTTTATGCTGGATTGTTTCTGATGGATACCAAATTACCAGTTGTGGCCACTTGTTGTTTCGATAGCAGAATGCGTATATGGCAATTTGAGTCTAATCAATCATTATAAATAAGCGATGAACCAATTCAATAAGAAATCATCTCCTAAGATGGCATTTCCTTTGATCAATTTGATAATATTGGTAATCACAGACATCCCAATTGCATGGTATATGATGGGGTCAAATGCTTGTATGTTGGAGATTCATTGGGAAATATCCACTTTTTTGATATCAATCTCTCTGGAGGCAGTTATATTGCCAGGAGATTAAGTTTGATTGTGATTCAAGAAATTAGTGGAAATGCGATCAACTAAATTCAATTAATGCCTCCAGAATAACAGGATCTCTTGATCCACACTAGAGATAACTGTCTTCGAATTGTTGATTTTAAGTCAGGAGACGGTAAGTTCCATGATCATGAAGTCATCTATGGCTCTGTCAATAATCGATTCTTTGGATCTCAATCTGTCAAAATTGCTTGTAGAAGTGTCCCTAGTCCAAAGGGAGACTATGTGTTATCAGGCAGCGAGGATGGTAAACCTCATCTCTGGAGCAATCTAACTCAAACCTTACCCACTGATTTATTCTAATTTAATGTGATTGGTCCTGTTGCTGATGTTGCTTGGAACATTGGATATCACATGATTGCAGTGGCTGGCTTTGGAGATGAGCATCCTATCATTGTCTACGTTTGGGAAAGAGAAGGAGATCTCAATTTTATTGAAGCCAAAAAGTTACAAGATGAAATTAAAATCAAACATAGAGAATAAGAAGATATTGTATTTAATATTTAAGCAAAACAAACTCTCGGTCGTTTTCAACAATCCATTTAAGCTTAAGGTCTCTTTTAACCCTAATTTGCTCAGTCCTCCTAAGTTCCTTTTTTACCCTAATCCATATTCAACTAATAGTAGCCTGGTAATTAATCAAAAAGGAATATGCAAGCTGGACCTTTTGGATCATCAGGACCATTTGGTTAACCATAATAGGGACCTTTTGGTTAACAATAATAATAATAATAATAATAATAATAATAACCCTTTGGTTAGCCATAATAATAATCATAAGGACCTTTTGGTTAAACATAAGTACCTTTTGGGTAGTAATAAAATCCCTTAAATTCAGTTGGATAACAATAGTAATAAGGTCCCTTTGGTCAAATGCCTTTTTAATAATAATAATATGTACCTCCTAATAATCCAAATACACCTTACAATGCAAACTATCAAATGCCATTTTCATGATTATATATATTTTATAAAATATGAGTAGTAGTTTAACCATCTTTATCGTGAATACTAAATGATAGTTGTGTGTATTAGGTGTTTCAGGTAATATTAATCTAGGGGACTTAAAAAATTTCGAATTTTGGAAGGCTTTGTAAACAACTGATTGAATAGGTAAAGAATTAATGAAAAACTAATAATGAAATTTCCATTAGATATGAAATTCCTTTTTGGGATACAAATTTTAATTGCTTCTCTCATAGTCACATTAGATTAGAGGGAATTATGGTTAGTTATATTGAATAACCAACTAAAAGTCGAATATTTTAAAAATAATCAGTATTAAGGTTTAATTTTGTTTTTCAAATTACTTTTGAAAATCTTCCCTATTGATCATTTTTTACTATATTCCACCTTTATTAGTAAAGCAATTCAAATGTAGAACATAAAAGTTTATCTTGATATATGGAGATTGAAATTTATAAAACAAAATAACAATCAAGGTTTTTTGGAATATTCGACAAGACTATCGAATACTAATCCTCCTTTGGTATTCACTACATATGATTAGACCCCAGGCCTGTCAATCAATTTGTAATGACACCTCTTGGATTCAGGGAGCTTGGCTTATTTTCCCAAAATGTGAGTTTTCTTGAATCTCTGCACAATATTTTTAGCCGTGGCATACTTAATATTCAACAATTCAGCAGCCTACAAAAGACTTAATTTAAAATAACAACTTAATTAATTTTCCATTCCTCTTTGTAAACAAGATTTACAAGTTATTCTTATTTCAACCTTGGCACTCTACAATAAGAACGGACCTTATCATTGGATGGTTGAGCTTTCATTATTTTTTGTTGTTATTTAATTTAATAAAATCAAAAAGATTAGATCTGGTTATAAATATATTACAAGTAAATAAAAATTTGTATAAGGCTTTTTAAATATTAAAGATATTTTATTTTAATTAATAAAAATTATAATATGACTCTTCTAATTCTTTTTTATGGTTTTTATATATGGTTGATTCCTATTATCTAAAATCTAACATTGACTCACAGGTATGTCCCTAATCAAAATTATGATGAAAATCTGTTAAAATTGTACAAATTCCCATTTAGTCTGTCCAACTTGCCATTCTCCTAGGCTTAATTTTTACCATAAATCTTAAACTACTTGTTCACTCGAGGAGCAATTGCTAAAATTAGTAAATAATGTTATTCCTGGTGTCATTGTCTTTACGAGCAAGTATGACTTGATCATTGTAAATTTGATGACCTCCAAATCAAACTAAATTTATTGAATTTTTGAAATTAAAAAAAGTGACCTCCCAGAATATTTATCCTTTGAGAAGACTACTCAATTTTTCAAACTATGATTGTCAATTAATCTGTATTTTGGAATGGATTTGATAAGTAATGGAAGAAAAATCATATTCTTTAATTTTTTAATAAATAAATGAATATTCTTAGAATTGAATTATTGAGTATAGAATAAATAATTGAATATTTCTCGTTATTATTGATCATTGGCGTTGATAATTTGAAAAATTTCAAATCGAATAGTGTTGAAGTAGTGGATTTAAATCTTTTTTAATTATGAATACTAAAATGTATATATATATCCAAAATTTGATAAAATTATATAATACCTGATAAGTTGAACCGATTTAAGATAGTGCACTTAATCTCCAATCATGCAGTGGATTTAAGTAAGAAATGTAAATGAAAATAAAAAAATATTTCCTCAAATTCCAGATTCATTCAGATATTCCTAAAGATAGCAGATTCGAAAGACTGTTTTTTGAAATCCTATTATTAAGGCTTGATCTAATTCAAATTATTGAATAGGATTATATATTTGCGAAAATAATAAGCATCATTGATTTGGGCAAGAAATTATCACATCAGTGTAATCTGAAATTTCAATTATAAATACAAACACCCAGAATTGAATGCATGTTATTAATCAGGGTTTTTTCCAAAAGCTGTCTCTTATCCAATAGATATGACTTATTTATTTTCAAAAAATCTAGTAATAATTGCTAATTATTATCAAGTATAATAAATTATAAATAAAATATAAAATGATGAGTCTTCTTTAGTTTATTAAAACTTTTTAAAACTTATATATAAGAAAACAAATCATAAATACAACACAATTAAATTTTTGCTTTTGGTTGAAGTAATCCACCTGCCTAAACGATGTTCCTGACTCTCAACCGTTAGGATTTTATCGCCAAATACATTAATATGATTGATTATTCCGAACTAAATAAATTATATTGAGAATCATACACTTTAAAGTGATCTCACTTTAACAATATCCTTATTTGTGACTTTGTATATGTTTAGATTGTCATCATAAGATCCTGAAATCAAAAGGTCGCTGTTGTATATGGTTCCCTATTGATTTATTTACAAATAATTACCAAAGACGTTATCCATCTATCTCCATGAGGTTTATTCAATTCAAACAAGGGTTTTCGTTTTTTGACATTCCATAGGTTGATATTAGAATCAACAGAACCAGTAGCAAATGTGTCAAGAGTTATAGCTCTGATGCAATCAATGGATTACTCATGTCCGCTGTAAAGCAGCTGTCCTCCAGATTTAGTTTTCCATTGGATCATTTATCTATCATAGCCACAACTCAAGAAATCGTCAGCATTAAAGCAATCGATGTCATTTGCTTCTGTACTATGTCCAAAACTTATATATTACTTGTAATTATTACAATGTATCAATATAAGCTCTTTATGCAGCATCCCATTAGATGAAAGTTCTATCACAAGAGATACTACATAGGTTATTAGAGTTATATCCAAATTTAACGCCATAAATTGGGGCTTTGTGATGTTTAAGAGTTTCAATCAATTTATTAGAAGTTGTGTCCCATAATTTAATGGAATGATCTTTGCCAGCACTAGCTAATATCTTGCCATCAAAGTTCAAGGAAAGGGTGAGAACTTCATCATAGTGGCCGTCTCCATGTTTGCCAACTTCTCTCTAAATGAACTCCTTCTTCTTGGTTTCCAAGTCCCCTGAAAACTCAAATTATTGTATTTACATTTGATTATGCTTGAATCTTTGGAACAAGAGTACATATGCTTGGCGAATTCATCCACTTAAGTGCATGTGATTGCTCTTAGATGACCTTTATAGGTTTCTCGATTGAATTGTCGATCAAATTTTTAGATTTATGATTGATAGATGGTGTGTTTTTCAGCGAACTATGATAGGGTGGATAAGATACTTTCTCGAGTAAGGCTACATTTAATCTTTTGTCTTCATCATTCATGTGAATGTCATGATGATCTTGAAAAAAGTCATCATTTTTTTTGGATTACAATTCTTATTTGGTTTGTTATAAAATTTATTTAGCCAATCTCAGCCTTCTATTATCTTCGGTTTCATCAATTTCACTATCACTTTTATCTGAAATATTTTATGGTTTTTGATTTTCCAATTCATCCAAGTATTCTGAATCGATTGATTCATCATCATCGATTTTCTATTTGTTGTTCTACTTAGTGTTCATGGTTTTGGGCTTTTTAATCTTTTTGACAGTCTTTTTAATTGTGTTTCTAGGCATAGTTAAAATTTACAACAAATTAAATATAAATATGAATATACTTTAATTTATAATATAAAAAGTAAAAAATTCAATGATTTTTTGTAATTTTAGAATTGTTGCAAATGGACACCCAAGGATTATCCACATCCAATTCCTATTTTAGATAACGAAGTTTCTTATAATAACGATTTTTTATCATATTCATCGTTTTACCTGGGAAATATTTGACAATCTTATTAAAGTTTGGTCCATGTTGAAATACGTGTTTGAGGATCTCTTTGTCTTCATCCTTGGTGAATGTCTACTTCGAACAAGATGGTTTCTTGTTTTAATTATGAGTGCATTGTTGAATACACATAGTCATGAGATGTTCAAGAGAGGACTCATCGTGAATAGGGTTCCTATAGTTATAATCAAAATTTTAAACTGCACGAGTTCCTCATCAAAAATTAGTAATTAATATCGATCGGTTGTCATTAATGCAATAATTTAAATAATCATCCGTCATTGTAAATAATTATAATGTATCATAAATTTATAATTCATTTTACAAACAATATAATATTATATTTTTATTATTCATATTATGTTTATGATCAATCTCCATACTCCTCTGCTTACGGAGATAAATCCTATTGAAATTTTTATTAAGTTCAGAGGAGCAATTTAAAGAGTGTTATACTTTTTAATAAATCTGTCATCTAACATAGGAATGAAAAATAAAATCTCTCTTGCGTTAATTTAAAGGGAGCAAAAAGTAAATTTAAGTAAATTTTATTACAATAAAATTCAAGAAGGCTTTCCTCTTTTTTCATTTTCTTTGCTAATGAACTTTAGTTAGTCAAATTTAATACTTACTCTGCAGATTAAAAATGTATACTAGCAAGCACTTGCAAATTACCATTATGCCAAATTATTAGGATATTGCTACAAACATATACTTGAACATTTAAATTAAGTGACTTAGAAAATTCATAAAAATTTACTTTTATTTTCTATCTAAATAAAGAAGTTTCAATAAAATTGAACAAAGATTATTTCAACGTAATTTTGTGAGTTGAATTATTTCAGATTAATTATAATTTTTATATAATCAAAGAAGATTTATTCAAAAAATATATAATAAATGAAATAAGATTCCAAAAGACACAAAACATAATATTATAAGCTTTCTTCTGAACTCAGACAAACCCTCATTCATTTAATTTGCCTAAAGGGTTTGAAAATAAAGCAAGTTTTCATTCATTCTATTTTTAGGCTGCATAACAATTAAACATCAAGTATTCAGTGGCAAAATCCATATTCTTCTACTATAGAAACAACATGATCAGAAATAAATAAAGCTTCTATTCAGCAAAGAGATGCTTTTATAGAAAAACAACAAAAGAGATCGTAATTTCCAGAATAATCACCTAAATTGCTGGTGAGTATGTAAGTTCAAAAATAGTACATTAAACAACCACTCAGGTTTCAATGTGAGTTTAATATATATTTTTGAACTATTTTTAAATATACTATCTTGGTTATAATCCTATTAGAATCATATGATTGTATCAAAGAACTTAATTTAAGTATCTAACGAAATTTAGAATAGAAACTAAGATGAAATAGCTGAATATATTTTGGAGATGGAAAGCCGCAAAAATGTATAAGTGGAATTATTATGTAGAAAAAATAGAAATGAATTTATTAATATTAATTTATGAAATTATTCGATTTAGCTTCTGAATCTTACATCAGTATTTCAGCCATGACTTGCTGCAATTTTCGTGATTAGAAACAAAGAAACTGATCAATTTATGATATTCTAAGTTTGAGAGAAATTTGAAATTCGGATGAAGATTAATTTTTTCTAATTGATGATATATTGTTAAAAATATTCATTGGTCATTTTCTGATCAATTTATGAAATGTCACTGGACTATTTGGTCGGTTAATTGCAATAATTATTAATAACTAATTGATGATAAAGAATTATCTAATTTCTGATTAATCAAAGGCGAAACTAACTAAGGACATTATATTACTTAATTACTATATGATAAATTTTTAATCAATTGCATTCTCAATTTTAATACATTTCCAATACGATAGATATCACTTATTAGACTTACTCATTATAAGTAATTTTATTCAAGCTATAATGGAATTTCAATTTTTATTAGATGAATAAATATTTCATCTTTTAAGGCGACATTCTAGTGGAAAATGGATTTAATTTCTTTCTATTATTTTTATTGGCTTAATTAAAAGTTTTGAGTTAGCTTCTTAATATATCTGTTCTTAAACATTTTTTTTCGATTTAATATCATTATAGATTCTAGGATCTGCTAATCAACGTGAAAACCTCAAGTTCACATCTTAAGGCCTACATTTCTTTAGAGTTAAATTGAATCGCTAATAAATCTACAAATTTCTTTTCTACTTGATATATTTGGTAATATTCTTAGAAACTTGAGGATCCTAGCCTTATCATCCACAGAAAATTCTTCAAACATTCTTTTTGAATTACCATAAAATTGAATCTAAATTTTATTATCCTATTAAATATCAAAACACCAATTTTTTAAGTCTACCACTATCTAATCAGACAGGCAAATCCATTTAGTTCTATACTTTTTTTTTAATTTTATTATCATTTTGTCATCTTCGTCACTTCATTATTATTTAATGATATTCACCCATATCTATATTTCTCTATCTTGCTTTCCATACATTCAATTTGTTAAGATGACTATCCTATTCTATTTCTATCTGTACTTATTTGAAATCTCCTCAATTTTCATCCTATTCAAATGGAAATTATTGTCCAAAAAGAATTTTACATGTCAGCCCTCCAACATGTACAATTAAATTTAATGGTTGTAATTTATCATAAAAATTCCAAAAGATTTGTTAATCAAAAATCAGAGTATATGCTCTTAATTAGTATCATTTATACATAGATTTATAAATCTCTTAGAGAATATTGAAAATGAATAGGATAATTTCTTTAAAGTAATTCCATAATTGCAGATATTTTAAAAAAAATATAAATTAAATATCAACTTGAAAAACAATCACTTATGATTTTTTCTTTCTCCTTATTCTATGTGTTGATTAGACTCCATTAAGAAAATAAATTTTAATTGTTTGGTAAATTTCAAAGCTGAAAGTATAATATGGAAGGATAAAACTTCATATAATTTAAGTAAGTCATTTTTAGGAAATAAACATCAATATAAAATCTTATTATTATTCTTCTGAAAAAAATAAGCAATTCTAAAAATCATACCACTTTTACTCAATTAGTTAATTGTTACCATAAATGAATATATTAAAATTTATATTATAATAAATTCACTGCAATAAAAAGTCTCATTTAGTAACTTCAGAAGACCATAAGATATCATTGAAAAAAATAGTTTCAACTCAGAAATAATCACAAAAACATAAATTTACTAGATTATAAAATTCATCACAGAATATTTCTTATTCAATTTTCAAATTAAGAGAGAGGAGAAATAATTACTTCAATGATTGTTAAAAGTATAAATTTATCTTATAGAGTTAAAATGATAATATCTAATTTAGTTTTTACACAAAAATTTGTTTAAACATAGATTTCAAAAAAGGAAATCCTAAAAAATATACGGTTAACCTTTAAAGGTTTTTTTTAATTACCCCATTCAATATTCCCGCTTCAATAAAATTGATTCCAATTGATAAATTACATTGATATATGGCGGTTTAATTTTTAAATTTAGACTGCCTTAAATTTGATGATACAAAACTATCATCAATTAATATTTATGTGAGACAAGGATGAACAAGCCTGGATTAACTAATTTATTGCTAAATGAAGAAGAATTTTCAATATTAAATTCAATTATTCTTTGTTTATTGAGTATAGATGTTAAAAGAAAATCAATAACTTGATCTCGGATATTGATAGTGGTTGACTTAGTTGAGAGAGCTTAGCAATATACAATTCTTCAACCTCATTAGAAAATACAAGGGTTTACACTCTAAAATGTGTGTATTATAAAATCTAGCTCAATGAAAAAATATTTATTAATTATTTACTGAATTAAATTATTCGAAAAATTAGTTTAAGAAAATTTAAATAAATTAGCCAATAAATGATAATGATCAATTAGCATCGGAATACTCCTGAAACCTCAAGCATTTTAATTCCAATTGTATTTTGAAGCTCTTCAAAACACTAACGTGATGATAAATCATTCTTAATATTGAAAATAGTTTAAAAAAGTATCTTATATTTATTTATCAAAAAGTGATAAAAAAATTTGAGATTTTGTAATTTTGAGTAAGCTTTTCTATGGTGAATAATCATCATAATTCATTGAAAATGGTTTAAATTGATTAATTTACTGAATATTAAAATATATAGAAATGTGCTATCAGAGTAAAGAATACACACATAATCAAAAGATATCATCCAAATTGATTCGCTAGAAAGGCTATTCAGACCACCTCGAGAGTTTCTTTTTGTTCTTCTTCTTTGTACCATTCTGTAACGGCTTACTTTTCTATTTGGGTTGAACGAAATGCACTTTCTTTGTATTTGTAAGTTAAGAATGTGGTGGAGTTACGCTTTGTGATTTCAAACAAGATTTTTTTGAATTAGAGTCGGATTATTTGCTCGACCTCAAGGAAATGGTTTGGCATTTAATCCAGTTTTTCACAGCAGGTGTGTTGTCTTCAGGGTAAGATTCTTTTTGTTTTTCTACATTCATTTTTAATTAAGCAACATCGTCGTGGATCCAAAGTAAAGATACTTCACTTTCTTAGAGATCGTCTGATGAAAAAGATGACACTGGATCAGTCGGAGGATTTTAAACTAATGCTATTGAACAACCCATAAATTAATTAATATTATAAAGACATAAAATTAAATGACGATTTATTAACCATTATAGCTGAAATATTATAAATAACATAAAGTTGCGAATTACATCATCTCATTATTACTATAAAAATTTGATACTTTCCAATCTTTTATTATCATGACCTGACCACAGATACGGAGATTCCCATGCCAACCCTCCTACTCCAGAACCATTATCATAAATTTCTTTAATCTTCCGAAAAGTATCCAAAGACCAAAAACAGATCTTTCCTTCTCCATTCTTTGTGCTCAATCCGATAACAAGGAAGTTGAATTGCTAAATATATAGAGCACTACTAATTTCATAATCATCTCTAAGTTCTTTGATCACCTGATACGATTATTAATTCAATAACTTAATTATTCCTTCTTTATCAATAGTTATTATATATAATTTGGTTTATAAGATGATTAAGATAGGTGATTCATGTAGTTAAATGAAGTTAGTTTATTGCAATTAAGGACATTAATGAACAATCAAGATGCCATCTCCCCCAACGTAGAATTTCTCATTATAGATCGCTAATGAGTAGATACCAAAATCAAATTTCAAATAGTGGATTTCTAACATTTTATCTAAATCCCAAATTTTGATACTTTAATCTTCACTTCCTGATATTAACTACTTTGGATTTAAGAAATCTAAACATGTGATTGTTCCTTAATGTCCTTTTAAATTACCAATCAATTGCCATCTTGGATGGTGTTTCCAGATTCTGATGACTTTATCTTAACCACAGGATGCTAAGGTCTCAAATTTAAATTTGATATTGACAATCTCTCTTGTATGCCCTTCTAAAGTGGCTATCATCTTTCCATTTGATTTATCCCAGGCTCGAATTAATTTATCATAAGAACTAGTAAAAATGCATAGCTATCCTACTTGCAATTATGAAATTCTTTTCTCATGAACTTTGATTGAATATTATTTTTCTGTTTTCGGAAACAAATTTGATCTACTTATTAACGAAGAACTTGTATTTTGTTGCTATCTAATTTATTCCTATTGTTTATCACTTATAGTTCGTTTGAGCTATTCCCCAAATAGCAATCCAGATTAAAATTGATATGGTTTATTTGATTAATCAGTTTTCATTGATTATGGTGTTAAGGATCTATCAGTTTAATAATTTTAACTTTGATCCAAATATTAAACTTATTTAGTTTCTATTGAATGGCTTCGTGAACTTTGAGTGGCATTTTTAGATTGTGTATTTTGTCTTGTATACTCATTTTATTTGTTCTAAGTTGATTAGTTTGTATTACTTAATTGAGTTGTTTGACTCAATTATTATGGAACATATTGTTAATTTTACTAAGCATTGGTGTATTCATACTTGAACTTCTAGGAAGGAGTAGTTTATTGAGTTATTTGGGAATTATTATTACTTTAATTATAATTGGAGAATTCCTTTTATTGAGAGTATCTCTTAAATATCTATTCTACATTATTTTGCAATTATAAAATAGACTGCATCACTTATAATTGATTATAGCACAGCATTACTTAATTCAATTGATCTTTGAATTGTTTACCACTATAATTTTTTAATTCAAATTTCTTGCCATTGTAATCGATTGATTTTTCCAATAATAGGATCACATTGTCTTAAGCCTATCGATTTGTTATCTGTCTTTATTCAATTTAATCGATTAAGGTTTGAGCTTGATAAACATCCTCATTTAATTTCATTTATTGATAGGATTGCTGAAAGATGAAGTTTTGAATTTATTTGAATGCTTGCTGAATATTCTTGAGTACTTCCATGTGTAATTTCTCATATTGAGTGCTTATCTTCTTCTCCTCATGGATATCGTTAATTTTATTATTAATCTCTGACCTAACTAAAGTGAGGAACTATTGCAAAGGGACGACCAATTACTATGGTAAACTATCTTAATATATGCATTATTAGCAACATAACCCTTATTGTTTATGATTAATGAGAACATGAGACAATGCTTAATTTGGATGCCTAGAACACATATATTATTAATTCATTATTTTTTTTTATTGTTTATTCTAATTTTCTATTCTGATTCATCTGGTTCATTATACACTTTTTTCAATCCTTTCCAAATCCCTATTTATTTAGCTGAAATTGTCCTATTTTTACATGACTTAATTTTCTCTAATTTATCACTCAATTCCTTAATCTCCTCAGGCGTTTTAGCATCTTTGAGTAACTTTTCTATACGTTCAGTCTCTTCTCGGAAGAACTTCAAAAACTAACTTCTTTTCATTCTTTCATTACTTGTAGTATCCTCCCCAATCATATGCAAATGATAAATCGCAAAAAATGTCAAAGAAATTCCCATTATAGCACACAAGATGATAAGGAAAATGAATATTGAGTTTTTATTTAACAGATGCATTATTATAATAGCCCAACTAGCTTAAGATGTCTATCCTGTATAAGGATCTCTAAATTGTACAAATTTATATTTACTTGATTTTTGCTTCAAATAGATTCTCTTTCACAACGATCCCCCATATGCAACGTATGCCTAAGTAAGCTCCATAATCACAGAGAAGGGCATGAAATAAGATGAATTTCACAAAGTATTTATAATTCTTTTATCCAACACATTATTTAATCCAAACACAATGATGATCAAATTTGCTTACACATACATTGCATACTCTACAATGTTTACTTCTTGCAGGTTTGATGATATTGCATGTACTGCATTGATTATCTTATAAATAAACTACATTATCATAGTATTCCTTAAATTCATTAACGTACTCTTAATTATTCTCCTTAGTTATTATTCCTGGTCGATATTTACAAGCTTAAAAAAAGGAATAGAAAGAAAAGAATGCCATTATTGATCCAATTACTGTGTCTACATGTGACACAAATGGATTATTACCAAACAATGTAAGACATCCAAAAAAGAGATAAATCAAATACCCTCCCACTGCAAAAATTACATAGAATATTTAAACTATTGGATGATTAGTAAAGAAAAAGTATTTTATTCCTATTTTGAAGACTCCGAATATTTTATCTCCACATATCTTTCTAAGCATTATGCTTGAATTTACTTGATTAACTCAGGAAGAGTGAAGAATACAAATCTATTCATTTCCCCTAACAATCCTGGAGAGTTGGGGTCTACACACACTAACAAGTACAAGGATGCACCTACTAATAATAATAGCAAGGTTAGAATTGCTAGGTATAACATTACTTAATTAATTATTATAATGGGTTGTGGAGCTCAAAAACAATCTTAAGGATTATCGCCGTAATTAAGATAAAAAGCACTAGAGATTTTCAAGAAAATTGATGTCAATAATTCTGGTTCTATCGATAAGGATGAAACTCAAAAGTTTTGGAAAACTAATTTTGCTAAAGTGAATACTCAAGCATTATTTAATGCCGTCGATTTTGACAAAAGTGGTTAGATTACTGAAGATGAATGGATGGCCTTCTGGGAAATAGTCAAAAAGAGTGGATATTCTGATAAAGAGATTTTTGAAGAGGTACACTAATTCTTAGAAATTATTAGTTGGACAATTTGATGGAAGGCAAAGCATGGGTATAATTTCGTAAAGTGGATGAGTTTGTTAAACGAGATTAAATGAAAAAAAAGAGTCAGGTCAAGTAAATCGTTGAAGACAATTCTAAAAGAAAATCTATTGTTTAGCAAGAATAACATAATAATTGATATAAATATAATCTATTTCATATCAATTTATGAACTTAATTCTCTTTTCCATCTCTAAAAATCAGCAAATCTATATTAGAATCATAGATCTACTTCTATTAATACTGGATTCAAAAAGTATCTTATCGAAGCATATACACTAAAACTTATAAAATGAAACTCGATTTACAAATACAAATTTAACTTTATAAGAAACTAAAATGTATTAATTATTTAATTAATGAATCAAAGATTTAATAGTGTTCCTCGTTTGAAAATCGCAACCTCCTTACAAGTAGATTAAAATAGTGTTGCCAACTCTCCAACTATATTTCATACTCCAAGAAGATAAGTAACGGAATCAAACAAATAAAATTATTTCCATAAATTGTCATATTAAGATTAATGGAAGTCAGAGAGATTGATTAAATATGTTAGACACAAAATAATTGATAAAGGAATCAATAAGAAACAAGGCTTTTAACAAGTTTTCCTTATTCACAACTTCAAAGTCTTTTAGTATTATGTACCACTGTATACAAAAATTGAAAATGAAAGCGAGCTCATATCTGATTTCATTGATTAATGTATGCATCTCAAAACCCTTTTGAATTTAAAGTCCACTCCAAAAATTTGGACTCTAGAAGGCACTTAGATTAAAAATTTCCATTTACTCAATTAAAAGGTATTTTATATTAATAACAGCTTTGATTTTTGGAATATGATAGCTCATTATAATTAATTTCTTGGTTCCTTTCAAATGAACCTACTCGAATCAATGTATTAAGACATCTCAAAGTTTTCAAACTCTACTCAAATCTTTGACTATTTTTTTAGCATCAATAGCAAAATCAGATTTTATTTTGCTTCACAAATTAATAAATTACCTTAAATATAAAATTCACAATCAAAAATTAATTTGGATGATCATGAAATTGAAACTGCCTTTGCAATGTTAGATACTGAAAAACAGAAAACCAAAGTGTAAATCTTTGAATAATTAAATAAAGAAATGAATAGCAAATCAAACTACTCCCAAAAATCCAATAAACTAATTAAATTGACCATTAAAACTAGAACAAGATAATCGATTGAATAATAAATCTTACAAGAAAATATCATCAATCCTGAAGATTTGCAATAATAAATTCAAGAATAAGTAGAAGGCTCGAATGTATTCATACCTTCAACTCAAAATATTGAAATTTCATAAGTTAACAGTCCATTTCAATTAAAAACTAATTTAAATGATAAATACTTTATGAAAAATGTAAATATTGACAAAATTTAAATGGATTATAAAATTACTCGGAGACAAACTATCAATTTTCTAACAATATTTAAATGTTTATTAAATCGCGAATCTCAACCAAGCAAATTATTGATATCCAAGGCCAACTTACTCTTGGCTTACCCATATCTAATGATGGAAGGATAATCATGCGGCTATGACACATTCCTGTTTATAAAGGAGACAAAAATGACTAGTTTTAGTTTTGAAGAATTTGTAAAGATATTCACTTAAGGCAAAGCATGAGTAAATTTCATTTTTGATATCTCCAATCTAATTACATAATAAGTATAAAAATGAAGGAACATCTTTTCTTATTTTCCTCAAAAAGTATGCTATTATAATCGGAATTTCAATAGAAAACACAAAACCATCATTGAATCTTCAACCTATCTATACTTAAAGTTTTTTTTAAACAAAAATATAAAATATAAGATCAAATTTTAATTTAAGTATTTCAATGTCTTTTCTAATATTTATTTTCTTTTTTTTTCCTAATTTATCATAAAAAAATTCTGATTTCATTTGAGTTTTACAAACTCAAACATTTTAGAATACAACAATTAAAATTGAAAAATATAAGTTTCGTTGCTATTAATTATATTTCAAATTGAATATAAATAGAAAGAAAAATTTGAGATCTAAACAAGTTCTTGAATATTGATTGAAATTGATGATTTTATGTAGGATAGCTTTTTTGCAAAGAGATAATGTAAAAAGAATTAAAAAACAATAATCAATATTACATTTCTCTTTACATCAAAGTCAATTTTTGAAATTACAATTTAATTATTTATTCTAGTTTAATTAATTAATTAATGAATAATAAATAAAAAAAGGGTTGTCAACACGAGGACTTCCCAAGCGGTCCCCCACCTTAGTACTAACCTCGCCTTAAGCCGCTTAACTTCGGAGTTCGAATGGGATCCGGTGCTTTAGGCTTAGTATGGCCGACAACGATATTTACAATTCATCTCTCTATTTATAACCCTTTACAATGTTTGATTACATTGAATTTAGAATTTAAATTAATAATTAAAACTATTATTCTCAAAAATTAGAGTATGTTGGAATCTTCTGTTTAATGATTTAAAAGACTTCAGAACCCTAATTAATTAGTCAATATACCCCATTATATTCCAAAACAGAAAGAACTAGTCTTATTTGCTCTCCGACAACTGAATGATTCTATCTCTACCAAATAGGGACTAGGAACAATTTCAGATATTTATTCAGATGAGATCCAACGACATTGGATAAGGACCTAAATTAAACAGATGTGGCTACTTCAAAATTTATAATGCAGAGCCAAATACTTTGTCACTTTTGGAACTCAATGCACTTCTTAATGGTAACACTAATTTTGGAAGAACTTAGATGATTTTTTCTTACGCAGCCTAATTTTTATTTGATGCTATTACTTCGTTTTATAGCATGAATTAAATAGCAGTTGTGGCAATTGCTAAATAAGGATGAACATCCTCTAATAATCCATTAAAACATGTAACTAATACTGGGTCATATGGTATGGTTTAGATGTTTACATCTTGAATCCATTAGATTTTCATATTCCCTTGAGTATTATAATTAATCTTGCAAGGGATTCCACCTGCTTCATAGACATAAGCAAATGAATTTCTAATTTTACTATTGCATTTACATATCACGCTAATATTTATTAGAGAAAGGATCAACCATCTTGATTTTCTTTGTTACTAGTGGTTTTTTTTCGTTCTTTTGATGCTTGTATGCGATCATCATCTTTTCAGCCAATTGAAGATTTAGTTAATTATTTGAGTAATTATAATTGTAATCAGCAGCAACATAATTTCTATGTATCTGATTCATTCTTTATTCATTTGAATTGATCTTCGGACTCTACTTATACATCATATATTTAACAAAATTTAATATTAATACTATGTTCATTATAATTTTTTTTGAAGATAGTAACACAATGACTTTATATCATTTTTCATCAGATACTCGCTATTGACCCATCTATTCTTGGTAATTATACCTAATAAAAAGTAAGAATGAGCAATTACCATTTGATCTCTTTTGCCACAATACGTAATACATTTTTTCTCTCTTTTCCTTGGTTTAAACTGCTTGGCCAATCTTTTCCAATTAATCTCCAAACTCGAATCCNAAAAAAGGGTTGTCAACACGAGGACTTCCCAAGCGGTCCCCCACCTTAGTACTAACCTCGCCTTAAGCCGCTTAACTTCGGAGTTCGAATGGGATCCGGTGCTTTAGGCTTAGTATGGCCGACAACGATATTTACAATTCATCTCTCTATTTATAACCCTTTACAATGTTTGATTACATTGAATTTAGAATTTAAATTAATAATTAAAACTATTATTCTCAAAAATTAGAGTATGTTGGAATCTTCTGTTTAATGATTTAAAAGACTTCAGAACCCTAATTAATTAGTCAATATACCCCATTATATTCCAAAACAGAAAGAACTAGTCTTATTTGCTCTCCGACAACTGAATGATTCTATCTCTACCAAATAGGGACTAGGAACAATTTCAGATATTTATTCAGATGAGATCCAACGACATTGGATAAGGACCTAAATTAAACAGATGTGGCTACTTCAAAATTTATAATGCAGAGCCAAATACTTTGTCACTTTTGGAACTCAATGCACTTCTTAATGGTAACACTAATTTTGGAAGAACTTAGATGATTTTTTCTTACGCAGCCTAATTTTTATTTGATGCTATTACTTCGTTTTATAGCATGAATTAAATAGCAGTTGTGGCAATTGCTAAATAAGGATGAACATCCTCTAATAATCCATTAAAACATGTAACTAATACTGGGTCATATGGTATGGTTTAGATGTTTACATCTTGAATCCATTAGATTTTCATATTCCCTTGAGTATTATAATTAATCTTGCAAGGGATTCCACCTGCTTCATAGACATAAGCAAATGAATTTCTAATTTTACTATTGCATTTACATATCACGCTAATATTTATTAGAGAAAGGATCAACCATCTTGATTTTCTTTGTTACTAGTGGTTTTTTTTCGTTCTTTTGATGCTTGTATGCGATCATCATCTTTTCAGCCAATTGAAGATTTAGTTAATTATTTGAGTAATTATAATTGTAATCAGCAGCAACATAATTTCTATGTATCTGATTCATTCTTTATTCATTTGAATTGATCTTCGGACTCTACTTATACATCATATATTTAACAAAATTTAATATTAATACTATGTTCATTATAATTTTTTTTGAAGATAGTAACACAATGACTTTATATCATTTTTCATCAGATACTCGCTATTGACCCATCTATTCTTGGTAATTATACCTAATAAAAAGTAAGAATGAGCAATTACCATTTGATCTCTTTTGCCACAATACGTAATACATTTTTTCTCTCTTTTCCTTGGTTTAAACTGCTTGGCCAATCTTTTCCAATTAATCTCCAAACTCGAATCCACCTTCAGTTTATGATTTGATTTCAGTGTATTTCTGGGATTATTCTGACGAAGACTCTTGAATAATTTCAGAATCCTGCTATAAATTAGGTTACAAACACTTTGAATTTTATTAAGATGTCTGTATTAATTAGACGATATTATTTTGATATTTCCTCATGAGGTCAATTTCTGATTTTAATTCATTGATCTAATTTTGTAATTTATTTATTTGCTCTGATTGTTATTAACACTAATTTTATTTGGATAAAGTAGGTGCCCCAATAAAATCTTCTAATTGAGGTGGTTAATCGTTTTCAATATGATAAAAGTTGGATCCAAATGTTTTTACTTTTTCTTCAAATTAATGTAAAAACTATGCTAAATTTGGTATCTTTTCTGGTTTTTCCCATGTGCAATCTCTGTTATTATATCCTTACCATTTAACAAGATAATATTTCTAACCATTGTATTATTTATAGTCAAGTATCTCATCTATTAAATACAATCCTCTCTTTTTTTTTGACATCAATAATTTGTTAATTTTTTAAATCAAAATGCATTTTATATACTTATAATTAAAAACCAATTAAATCAAGTTTATGATTAGAGCGCTAATAATACTAGTTTAAAACTTTGTGAGAAATAAATGAATATATATGTCATGAATTTCCAGTATAAATATTTGGTAATAAATTTCGATTGTTATTATTTTTTTACATTCTCATATACTCTTCAATCTCAAATGACATCTCTTCAGATTTTAATTTATATCCTTCAAAGTTCTCGTTATTAAAATTTGAATATGCATACTATTGTTATTTCGCTTAATTAATTCTCTGCACTTGAGGAAAAATAAATTTTTATCTTGGAATATGATCTGAAATAGACAGCCCTCTCATTTCTTTTGGTTTGTAATCCTTATTATTTTTGCTGACTCTAATAATGGCATTTTGTTTAGGGGAACCATTATTTTCAATTAATTAGTTTACTGATTCATTTATAGGAACTGAATTCTTTTTCCTTTTCATTGCAATAATACCGACTCCTTTGTATTGGTTATTTTTTAATCCTGGAGAATAAAATTGACTTGGTGATTATTACAAAAAGTGGTTATATCTATGCTTCGATAATGATATCTTTTTCTTCCCTTTTTTCAAAGGTGATGAAATAAATCCATTCTTAAGTAAATTGTCTCTATCCAAATAATCATCAAACATTAATTCTTGTGCTAGTTATTAAACAGATCTGTTGCAAAAGTTTTGAGGTAACTAAAAAATCATATAATAATATAATTTATTTTAAATTGATTTCTTTTCTTATGGAGAAATTGTTTTTTATGTACTAAAATCTTCATTTAAAATTGATTGTTATATAATCAGCCAGATTAATTAATATATGATAACAATCCTTAATTTTATCCTTTTTACAGACTTTTTTTAATTTATGTACTAAACCTCTATATATAAGGATAAGATAGTTTTGAACTATTTTTTCTAGTTAATAATTCTAAAATACATGAAACATTCTTAAAAGCCTTAAGTAATAATTTACTGTAAACTTCCTTAAAACTTTGGTATTATCCATTCCAATACCTCTTGAAAAATTCCTATTTATTCCATTATTTCTTTCCCACTAATTTGAATATCAATAATTAAAGGAATTGATTTCTTCTAATAAATGTTCGTACATAAATAGAATTGAATGCTATTAATAATTTTAGTATTTATAAATAAGGTAAAATCAATAATGCAAACTTTGGATGATGAAAACAAAGAGCTTAGGTAATAATTAGAATCCCTTGAAAAAACATATAAAATCTTAACTGAAGAGCTTTAAATATTTCGAGAGAACATGAAACAATATGATAAAGAAAAATAAATATTGATGGAAGAAAAAATAAAATTGCAATAAGAAAGTAAAGAGAAAAAGAGCACTGAATTTGAGAAAAAGATTAAATCTATAATAGAGAAATTGCCTTGCCAAATTGAAATAAATAGTCTAAGGCAAATTTCATAATCTACAATTCAAAAAGCAAAGGATGCAATAAAAAATGTGGCTATTGCATATAAAGATGCTTATAATTAAGATTATCATAAACGCTTAAGTGATAAACCTTAATCATTGTTTGAATCCTTATATATAGTTGGAGGAAAACACAAAGAATCTGAAAAAAACTAAGAATATTAATAACAATAAGATGGTTAATTAAAGTCAAAAATTTTCTATAAATGTTATAAATACGACATAAGTGCAAAAGAGAGAAACTTTTTAGAGTCTATAGAATCTGATATTGAGGGAACTTTAGAAAGTTTACTAGAAGTTGAAAAATTGGATTATGATAATAAAAAGGTTGAAGACAGAATTTTTAAGTATTTAATTATTGAATATTTAGCCTTGTTAACGAAAAAAATATTATGGATAATTAATTTTTCTTTATCAATAAAAGGGGTTTTTTTGATCATTAATCGGATAAGTTTGTTCCTTCCAACATGGAACTGATAACTGAAATAAATAATGATAAATAATTATTCCTTATTTTTTTGGGTGTTGACGATTTTATAACTAGTTTTAAATAAGATCGCTTCAAGTTTTGGAAGTTTAAAAAATATTATTGTTTGGTGACGTATTTTCCAATTTTCGAGATATTTGAATAAGTGTTACAATTTGTCGACAGTATTTTAATATTTATACTAGATTAGATATAATCCAAACCTAAAGAAAAGGTTTTTAACAGCAATTATAAAATTAATTGAAATTGGGATAAAGAGAAAAAATATTAGAAATAAAATTTAAGTAAAAGATATATTAAGATTATGATTCTTTAAATATTATCCAAGTATTTAAATTATCTAATTTATTAGGCAAGTAAAGAAGCAATATCAAGTTATTTATGTGATCTATCAAAAAAATATCTTAGTTCAAATTAACCTAATTTAGATTTTAAGTTTATAAGCAATTTAACAACCTAAAACAATTAAGTCCTAAAATAACACCTTACTTATTCTGTTACTAAAGATATTAGAATAACAAATATGCTTAAAGCAGCTCACGTTGTGATGTAGATATTTTGTAATCAATTGAACGACTTTTTTTTAATTTTAACTGAAATCCTAAAGGAAGAATAAATTGTTTTTTGTAGTGAAAATAAGAGTATTTTAGTTTAGGTTTGTTACTTTTTCCATAAAATAATTTACCCTTTTATTTATACCTAACCTGTGAAATATTATACCGATATGGATACATTTTAAGAAATTTCAAACTAAGAAAGACCTTTTATATTTGGAATAAATAAAAGCTTTAATGAATTTAGAGGTGACCTCTCTCAATAAAACTGTCCAACTATTGTTGAATTGAGTAACATGAAAGCTACCATACACTAATTTACTCCTATTGATCCGAATCAAATAAAATAGTTATTTCCGGATGATGAATTTCAAGATATCTTCAACAATTATACAAAAGACCCCTTAAATCTTTAAATAAAAAAATGTTAGATTTTGTTATCTAGAATTAAGATGAAAATAGAGAATGATGTTCTTAAACAAATGGAATTAAGTCAAGATCCAAAGTTTGTAAGCGATGGTGAATTAAATCAAGGGATTATTATAGATTGTACAAATAAGAAACTTTCAGAAAATAAGAATAGAACTCTTTTAATGGATATTTTTCGGACCACATATTTTTAAACCTATTTGAAACATCAATAAAAATGTAAATTTTGATGAATTATGAATAATAAAAATAATATTATTAATTATGATATTCATAATGTATAAAATATACAAAGGGCCTTGTTTGATTTACAACAAAAAGAGAGTATTGGATTTAAATTTTGATTTGGTAAAGCTACATTATCTTTCTTTGTATTTTGAAGATTCACTAATTTAAGACCAAGGTAATGATAGAAATTACCAATTAAGAATTGTTGGATGAATGATCCTATGCTTATAGGTCTATGGCTTCTATACTCATTGAACTAGTGGATATTATGATGACGTGGTTCAAAAGGTAAGTTGCATGCATCAGAAGCATTCAATCAATGCCTTTGACATAGACTTTATCAGGAATTACAAAAAAAGATATAAGATCTATCGTGGAACATAAAAAATCAAAGTTGGAATTTTTCATCGATCTCTGAATTCACGATATGCGAATGTATAGTAATATTAATAAACAATATAATCAAATGAGCCTCTAATGCTAATAAAAATAGATCTTTAAT